ATACGAGTTCACTCACCTCTACTACGATACGAAATCGAATGCGTAGCGAACCTTTCAGGTTGCCATGAAAATTAGGAAAAAAAGGGATTGAAAACGAAACGCGGGAGAGAAAGCAGTCTACTTCGAGTCGTTCGCCTCATTGGTTTACAGGATAATAGCCATATTCCTGTTAGTGCAATGAGTTTCTTAGTTACGTGTCAATACGATGAACCTCTTCACTTTGTGAAATAAAACTGGAATTTTCAATAACTGTCTAGATCCATATCCCTTAAAGCGGAATGTTCCTAGGTTTTTTTCTGGAAAGAAAAAACGAGAATGGTTCTGCTACAGCTGAAATTATTCACGGGAATCACTGAAGAACTACAGCTTTATTGATACAAAGGCATCTACAGGATAATCTAAAGCGGATATGAATTACTAACGATACATATCAACAAGATTATCTACACTGTCGGAAAGACTAACGACAAAGACACAGTGGACCATTAATTGGGATCATTGGCTCTTAGGAAGGCAAAACGACGTAAGGTTAGTCGATTAAACCTTTGCGTTAGCCCCGTCTTAACTTATCAATGAAGGAACACATTGATTAGCGATGCCGAGGAAAAGGAAAAGTCGTTTTTTGAGATGTCGATTCGCTTTTGCTACTTACTATAATACCAACTGCTGCAGGATGGGTTGTCCGTTGGAATATAAATTGCTACCAGTCTCACCAACAACAGTCCTATGTTGATACGAAGACGGAGACACCAAATCGTGAGGACAAGCGACTGTGGACCATCGACTGGGATCATTATCTCTAAGGAAGACAAAAACACAACACAACGTTCTTTAGAGCCGTCGTGAGTCGTCAATCATATGCGACTCTGAGCGGCTGTTCTTCCTCGGTGGAAGACAGGTGAAAAAAGCGGCTCTGAAGAAGGCGATTCTGCCGAAACGTGGGCTACGGTTGTGTTGTATGTGTGTTATTGTATGGAAGTAAACGTATGCTGTTTAATAACCTCGCGTTTGCAGCGAAAGAAAACGACAGACTTATAATCTAATGCCGAGATTAATAGAAAGCCAACCTTAGCAACCTATGCGATTGTTAGAAACCAGCCGACCTACGTGATAGGTCCTACGGTAGCACTAATGCTGCATAAGGTTAGAACTAAGGCTTGAGTTCTATCGATTCTGCTTTGTATTGATGTGACGTAATTGTGATACTAAAATCAAGTTCCCCGACTCTCTAACTTCTGTTTTTATAGCTAAAATAAGGTTAGCTTACCGAAGCATCTTCGAATGATCGTTTTCCAAAACGAACAAATGCCGACTTGTGTTTTTCCATTGGACTCGTATCAAGGGCTAAAACTGCATAGTATTTTCGAATAGTTTTTCTAGATATGGAGTTTTTTTTTATCTACTGTCCGCTTTTTCTTTGTTATGAGTGCCTACTTCGATGTTTTAAAAAAATATCAGCGATACTACGGTACCATATCGGAACTTACCGTTGTTGGAATTAGGACCGTTGTCAGGACTAACATCTTGCAACAAGTACTGTAGCTCTAGAAGCGATCCTTGAAGTGCTTCACGAAGACGACAGAGGTTTAATGAAGGAAAGTAACGACAAAACTCTTGAGTGGGGTGTTCATCGCTCGCAGAAGCAACGATTGAGCTTATCGCCAACGACACGAAGAATAACGCACACCACATCACCCTGAAGATGGTGCTGAGTTCAACCATTATGTGAGTCGACAACTTTCGGAAAAGTGAGCAAGAACTTCACACAACGTTAACGTATCAGTACTGGTACTCAAGTAATACACCTGACACGTTCTGGAGTTGTTAATCCTATGGGAGCGCAGTTTCAAAAAACTTGTTGCCATTTCTTTATTCTTTAGATCCCTCCCCTTTTCAGTTAAAAACGGTTACATGTTATCGACTTCTATAGGATGGGCGGGTACTTGGTTAGCCCAGGGCGAAAGATCGAACCAAGGACTATGTTTGTTTGTTTTTGTTTGTCGGGGCTGCTATACATGTGCCCAACCACGATGGTCTTACTATCTTGAATTGGATTACCAGATAATATGCTCTTTAACTGAGGTATATGCTATAACTCGGCAAAATACGTAGCAAAATGTTAACTGAAAATATTTTGGAAGAGGAAGGGGAGCTAATAATAGAAAGATGAAAATCGAGACCAGGAAACATGTTGGCTTAACTATGAAACCCTCACTTTCGAGGGTCATCTATGATTTCGGCCATCTGAAGTGATGGACCGGATTGGGGAAGTGCGAGCAAAAAGTAAAAAGGGTTGCGACCTTTGAAGAAAGGAAACGCATGGTCGGTCGTTATTGGACCCACGCTGGTTGTTCATGAATATTCCAATGAAACGAGTTGGAATTTTAGAAATCGCTCATGATGATGTAAGGCTAGTTTTATCGTCTTTTTTTCTTCGAATTTGCGTAACCCCAGTTATGACATGAAACGTGATGTGCCTTCAAGCTTTGTCCATCTCATAAATGCCTGCTCTCTAGAATATCATATCCTAGAAATTGCACAAGAGTGACCGATTTCAGTAGCACTCAGCTATGCATGTTGGAGATTTAAATGATTTATAATACTAATATAAAATTCATTATAGTTCCAAAGATTGCCATTTCAAAGAGTTAATGATTAGACTTTTGTTGGAAAAATCTCTGAGAAAGATATTGGAAGAAATCATTGTATGGCTAGAGTACTGTAGAAATGAACTTCGTAAAAGCGAGATCTAAGAGCTACATAGCAGTGAAACACGGAGAAATCCTGCGAAAAATGCGGTAGATTTGTAATTTTATTTACTAATATCAGGTTACATAGTGTTTTCGGCTTTAAAGATGTTCCCACATAGATGCCTCTTCACCCGATACTTGTATTGTGTTGATTCATATGTATTTTTAAATCCTTCTAAGTTAAAAAAGTTGATGAGCATGTTATCTGATGCAGGTGAGCAGAAAGAAGGGTATGCCTTAAACATTGGGTTTTACAGATTGTCTAGTTTTCTGAAGAAGCTTAGAATTATACAGAAAGAGTAATGTTTCTCGTAATATAGGAATTAGCTCGATATTTCCATCAAAAAGCTCAGTTAAGAGTGAGAATCCAGCGGTAGGTGTCACAGCCGCCCTGGCAACATATTTGTTGACAACAGATGGTGACAACCTAGAAAAGACCTTACGGCGACTTTCAGGGCTTCGATAAAGGAACATCTTGCTTCAAGCCAATAAACCATAAGCGGGATGGAAACTGTGCTTGGTTCTAGCAATTCTTTTCTTGCTGAGCAATCGCGAGGTTAATATGACACTAACTATTCCCAATACCTGACATTTTGGAGGATTTCGTCTTCTGCATAGCATGGAAAAGTCATGCTAACGTACAATCTAGCCATACAAATGCTTCTGTAATCTCATCTAATACTCTGAAACCTAAATTTCAATCTCATTAGAAGAACACTCACCGTTTCCTAGTAAGTCTTCACTTTATTGATGGAATTCAGCCGCACAGAGTTTACACGGATGGGTAATGTACCTTTATCACGTCAACAGACCGATTTAAGATATTGTGTGAGATCAGGTGTGAGAAATTCTGAGGTTGAAAGAAACTCGGACCTGGGTATTTCTCGTAATTGTGATCTCTGATGTCTAATTTCTGATGTCTCATGTCTGTCTCGCGTGATTCTCCGTGATTTCGTGAAGACGAGCCATTCAAGTACTCAAGCAGCTATGGAAGCAGGATTACGGACACGGAATATATTAACTTATCCCATTAATATTCGCTCTTTGTTACTTTCAAGATATCCAGAATTCATCAACTGGCATATCAGTTCATTTATCTCATATCTATCATTTATCTATCCTTTTAAAACTATAGATTGTCCAAAATGAATTAAAGTTATCCAGAGTGTACTGTATGTGTTCAGAGAAGGCCATTGCATGATTATGAAGTCTATAAAATAATCAGATGAAAGAATGTCTATCATTTCAAAGGGCCAATGATGGAGCTGCCTAAGACACGGTGGAACTATGGAGTTTGAATCTTAGAAAAGGCATTATAAAGATACCAGTTCAGTTGTACGAATGAAGGCGAATGAACAGTTAACATAAGGCCATGTGCTTGCATCGCAAAATCGTTTTTATTATAAAAATGGCAGGTAATATGTCGGTTTTTAAGACGGTTTAGTAATTTACAACAAGTCCACTGAGAAAGTTGTTAACGATGTAACATAGGAGAAGAAAGATAACACAAGAAAGAAGTCTTGATAGAATTACGGTTACAATAAATCTCTTGTCAGACGCCACTAAAATTTCTTCACTGTCTATAAAAAAAATGCACTATGATCGTGGATTTTTTCAAGAGTCGGAATTTAAACCAGCACTTTTAAGGGGAAATAAAAGAAAGGGATAAAAAAGAGAAATCAGACGTTGACGATTAGATTAATTTCTAAACTAAGAGCAAGCACCTGTAGTAACGTTAAATATCTCGGTATTTAATAGCTGGGCAAGCTTCCCGAAAAGAGAAGCTTGAAGTCTCCGAAATAATTCGTCTACGCTTCCTATGCCTTTCCAATGTCATAAAATTTTCTACTAACTTCGTATTTAAGTGAGTTAACGTTCTTGAACCACCCAATGGTTTTCCACCTCATCGTGGCTGGGAGGTGTTCCTGGGTGTCGGGCTGCCATTTACAGCAAGGGAATTCATTTCCCCGGCAGGGTCTCCCATGCTGAGAAGGAGCCCGGCGTTTTCATCAGGAAGCTCAGCTAACAGTAAGCCAATACTAAAGTCCACCACCGTCTTGTTATCGAACTTATCGCATGGTGGCAAATCTCGCTCTGATCCACAAGATCTGCGATTTCCTGTGGCGGTGACGACCTGGTGTAGACTTTCGTCAGGCTGAAGTGAGGATTCCAGAGAACCACAATGGCTTAACCAGCAAATCTCCGAAGAATGGAAATTATGCTAAGGCTCACACAACCAGTGAAGATTGGGCTATCCAAGTGAGTAAGTAAACTTCTTGAAAGTACACCTATATAGTGCTGATTATTTAGTTGTGATGAATTGGATTTTTTAGAGCAGTTTGCGGTAAAACGTCGGAACAGCAATAAAGAAGCAGATAGGATTCATATGAGGATTACTGTAACTGGGAACGGCTTAAATACATGTCGTTTCGAATGCGTTAATGGAAAAGATTGATGCGTATCGGAAATGTATGTGATTGCTGCAAAGCAATTAGTAGAATGCGTCAACTGACATTCAATCTGAAGACGTCAGATCTCACAGAACGATGCGGAGTACTTTTACAGTGCACTTTATACTTTAAGTAAGCTGGTAAAGAAATACTGATAACTTTACGACTAAAAATATTCAAGTAAATCATAAGAAAAGTACAGCAACGCATTAGTAACATTTTGATAAGTACACTAAATGACATGTCTTAAAGACTTTCACCAGAGTCCAAGGAAAGGAAAGCTTCTTGCGAACTGATGGTAATAAAAAGTTATCGGATTTCTTCGGGATGATCTAAACATTCACTGACTTGATATGTCAGTAGGCTTCCGACAGCCACTGTACCAATCTTTCCTGTCGAATCGAAAAGTGACACATACTTTTGAATAAGGCTTAAGTTTATTTATTTTGTCAGAATAAAGTTCTGAACTTTTTCAAAGCATTTTCAGCTGTAGCCTTAGTAACAACAGTTGACGACCTTCCCGTAAATTAGGTGATAGCATGATTGGAAAAACAACAATAGTCGGTTGGCATTGCCCCCGCCGAGCATACTCTCAAGTTGAAAGTACCAATGATTAACTAGCACATGTTCCTAAACTGTCTTGGGGCGAAGCCATTTCCTTTCGACTAATTTTTTTTCGGTTAATTTCGATCAATGTAAGTCGGAATCTTACGGCTGCGATAGCACAGTACTCTGTTTCTATGGTCACATTGATGATGCCAGTAGACACCCAATGCACGCACCCTCGTAAAATGCCATCTACAAGGTAGACGAACGTGTTCCTAGTTTATTTTAACCGGATTCACCTCCATCTGGATCAAGAGAGAAACTTCTCGGGTGGATCTAAAGCGAAGAAACACCACAGAAATTTAGTGCTTGAAATAATAATGGTTACCCAGTAGGAATGAGATGCGTTAAAGTACTGCCACTCGCAGAAATCTATATACTTACCGCTGCAAAAGTCGTAGGTTTGTTGCTTGCTCTTACGCAGTTTTAGAGCAAGTAAAAATAACTGTGGGATCTCTAGGTATTACGTCTCCTTATTATGTTTCCAGAGAGGGGCGTTTGGCGTAGCGGTCGGAAGCGGCCTGCGACACACACATGAGACTGATCGCCGCGCAGTTGGCTAACCATAACCAAGTCTTCCATCCCTCCGGGGTCGGCAAATTGGTACCAGACTTGTATGGGAGGATGGCAGCACTGGCTCGATACATCGGTAGGCCACCGTGAGTCATTGTAAAGGCCAGATATGCATTCAATCACCTCCAAACGATGTTTAATGAAGTCGAATGCATGGCGCACCCTTCAGGGATTGATCAACGCCGGGAGCTTTATCCTATATTTTTTATTGTCTATGCATTTGAGTTCCTATACGATTAAGCTTAAGAATTCTAGGCAGACAACTTCTACGCTCAGAACTATTTTTATTAAGCTGACAGTTCTAAGGGCAACACTCTAGCATGTTCTTTTTATGGGTTACTCCGCATCGTTTATGCCCACTAGAATAGTACGTTAATGATGCAGATTTTATAATGATTATCGAAATCCTTAGAAAATCTTTTTTTTCTTGGGCGTCCATCTCATCTACTATTTCGGTTCCGGTCATGTCAAAAAGTACCGACAATACTATTACGTGATAGAACCCTAAGTCGAGTGTAAAGATATGTTTCTTATGAATGTGTCGGCAGAGATTCTTCGCTTTTATTTATCGCACTATTTAAAATGTATAAAAAATCGGAATTTCAGCGATAGAAAAACGACTTCAGTTGTGCTACTTTCTGCAAAGCTTACAAACCTCAACTACTTTGTAAGTGGAATCCTGTATTGTTAAATAGTACTCTTATTTTTCTAAAGAATGATTAAAGCGTCTTCTTAAACGACACGATGTGTTTGTGAGTTCCACCACTCACCTGCCTTAGCAGATTGAAATGATATACGAATTCTTGTAAAACTACATGCTTATTTAAAGATTTCGTTACACTAATAAACAGCACATTGTCATCTTGACCATATTTATTGATAAGACAAACGTCATACACAAAATCATGCGGAAAGAGCGAGAAGCCCCTCCACCACCGTACATAACCATCTCACAACAAACTAGAACTGGCTTCTACAAATTTCACTTCTACAATGACAGTTCCAATGTGGTTGTTCTCCTTTAAGAACAGCGACACTACTTTAGAAGATGTACGGTGACCTAAATTTACAACGGAGTTGTATTTTGAGGACAACAAAAAGTGGCTCAGGCTCCTAACCACCGGCCATGAGAAGTAGGCATTCTACGTTAACCTTACTAGAAAATTTCATTCGCTGTACTTCGCATCAGCTCCTCCAGATATCGGAAATTCGGGAAGAATTCTCACACGTAGTAACATCTTCGATATGGTTGTCGCAATTCGCTGTTAAACACTGTGAGCTCCTTAAGGACACCGCTATTACGCTGATCAAGTAGATCGTTTTTGAAGGTAGCTCTTATTCATGACACCATCTTCTTCGATTTACCATCCGTTATGGCTCCTACAATACTGCACCATGTTGAACGAAACAGAAAAAACCTTTAAGAGAAAGTTCTGCTTTTCCACAACAAAAGATCGAATCTCTGTGGTCTCGATAGAGCAGTCAGACGCTTGCCGACCAGGAATATCCATTCGAGTGGTTGTAAATAACCTTACTTCGGGTGAGAAAAAAACATGACTTTACGAGCGTCATTTTACAACAAAAATTTTGTTGTCAATCCTATGAAATAACTTCCCGGAGATATGAAGTCGAAGATTTGAAAAAGCTTATTTATTTCATGACCACGCGCTAAAAAAGCAATGAGCAGGACTATAACAACTAATTCATAGCCGACATAACTTGTATACAAAATTTCAATGGAAGCAATTTTATGAGAAAGTAAAGTGCACACTGATCCGTGTATATCGTAACGGAACTGTTTCCTCCTTCGAAATTCAAAGAAGGAATTACATGAAAAATATTGCGCTTTATGATCGTGCTACATCCAAACACGTGACGGGTTACAACCAATAACTATAACTGGTTAACAACTGATAAGTAGCAACTTCTGTAACAAGCAGGTAATAGGTAGCGACAACCAACTACCATAAAAATTACCTGGGCACTATAGAGAAAGCTCACTGATTATAATTTTGACAGAAACTTCATAAACGACCACGTTTCCGTCTACTCCCATAACCGCTGAAAAAGTTTAAAATTGGTGACAGGCCATATTCTAGCTCCATTAAAATTGGTAACATACCATATTCTAGTTTTGTTGATTGGACTTTTTCCTAAGAAAAAAACATTATCATTACACGTATATAATGCTGAGATATTTGCAAAGCTCCGGACCGCAGGTGTATGCGATGGGAAACGAACGCGCGCTATTGTTCTTTCCGGGGAGTAGCGCACTTCACCACCACACCATCCGGATCCTTCTTTTGCCTGTCCCTCAGCTAGTTCTATTGATGTTTTTGTTAAGTTTTGCCATCAGCAAACACCCGTCAACGGGATTGATCTGGGGAGCCTAAATCGGCATTGAACCCAGTTAACCTGAGGCGTAGTTATAATCACAATCTTAACTCTTTTATTTACTACCTATTTCTTTTTAATGGCAGGGTATGTTGCAAATATCTCAGCATTATATACGAGTTATATTTCGCAACACACTTTGCCATTAAAAGAAAAAGGCAGTAAATAAAAGGGTTAAGATTATCATTACATATTAAACATTATTAAACACTAAACATTATTTGGCACTGGCAGACAGAAAACTAGCTGCAAGAAGTGCGAAACGAAGGACCCGCATGGTGTGGTGGTGAACGCAGTAGCCACCAGTAACTACGTCTTCTATCCCCACTGCAGACACCTGCGATCCCGAGTTTTCCAAAAATTTTGGGAGCATTGAGGTTATTATCATTTTGTTATACTTAGAGTGATATTACAAAAAAACATTCCAACCGAATGACTATTACTAATTACATGTATGCTTTGTGCCGTGCACAGTTCAAAAATTTGAATGTACTCTAACAACAAACGAGAATCATAAGAAGTTGAAACACTATTGTTGTAGTCAACAACCTACCAATAAGTAGCAAATCCCCTGAAAGAGTGACTGACAGGTAGGTCGCGGACAAGAATGTCTTGAAATACAATAGCGGTGCAATCTCCGACTTCTGAAATACTACGAACATTCTCTGAAGGATAGGTTCCTCAAACTACTACCATTTTAAAGGTTTGCAAAATAAAAAAACTGAGCAAAATTCGAGGCACCAAAACACCTAAATTACGTGGATTACCCAGTAAGTCGGTTAGGTAGCAAGTACCAAAAGGACTTCTGTCTACTTTGCGATGTAACTGGAGAAATTTGTAAAACCTTAAGTTGTAGCCGAGAAAACTACTACTTCTTTTGATTCACTTTATTAAACACACTGTAATTTCTTTGCAGCATTAGAGTTACTAATAAAGTCAATCTAGCAACCTCGCCAAATATAGTAATAGTTTATTTAGACTATCAGATAGCTAAAATTTGTCCCGAAATTTAAGTATTCAGCCCAAAAACAAATCTGGATCATTCTGCAACATGTTTTCACTAATGAAACAAACCTTTAAGAAACACTTTAAATACTTTGGAATCCGTGATTTTTAAATAAAACAAAACTGGTGATTTAATACTTAAATTGAGATATTCTAAAGACCAAGTCTGTAAATATGAATCTTAGAACATCTAACCAATTAAGGACCAAAATTCCTTCACAAAATTCTCTCATAGGTTACCGTAACACTTCGCTGATCATAACCATAGATGAGTATCATTCCAGTAATATCAAGCGTTACGATGCAATTAAAGCTCTTATGTCTCACAGCGGCAGCAGCTGCCACACCTCGACCAGGATTTATCAGTGTTCGCTCCTTCTGATTCGCTAAACGAGAAACCTTAATAGTTGTTCTTAATGTCGTGTGATTATACTTTGAGCATTAAGAAGGTAAATTTCTCTTGTGCACCTGACATCCACCAACTACCGATCGGCTCACATTTTACTTAAACTTTTACTTTGACCTAGTAAACTTTATTAGAAGCTGACACGCACTACGTGCATCCATAGAAGAGTATCATTTCAGTACTAATCTTCCAACCAATTCAACCAATTTCCAATAACTCTACGAACATGGCAGCGCCTCAAATCGTCGATACTCGGTGGAAGCACGGATTCTGTTCCTACTTGATATGGTATACTCCTTTCACAACGATCTCAAATAACCCGTTCTATAACGTCGACATTACCGTCATTCTAATTACGTGATGTCCAAATCCCTAAAAGGTACGTTAAAACGGGAGTGACGACGTGGAAGAGGCAAGTTTCCGTACTTTTGCTATACTTCAATAAGTTCTGTTGGGCTGTGGACATATCACGTGGAATATCACGCTGCACCTTTTTCTAAACACTTTTATCATACGAGTTTCCTTCGCTCATTTCGTTTGGTGAATAATGTTTATGACGACTTAAGTATTTAAAGAAATTTTTAGATGATTGATAGCAAGTAGATCGGACAGAGTTGTCTATGTCATCTAGGTCTCCATTTGAAGCAACAGTGCGGTCCATCTGGTCTTTCACTGGTTTGGAAATTCTCATTCTGAAGGTTTTATCTGTATTTTTATATGATTTGTCTTCACATCTGCTATGCGGATGCCAGCACTTCTTGCATTCGATTTTTTTCCTCCCACCCAACATCCACGAAGGGCTTCCAACTTTTGCGTGTGGCTTCGGGTGCTGCTTGAGGATTTCCACTTAATTTTGAATGTCCCAAAATTATGTTCGGTTCGATTCTCACTGGAGTCATTAGATAGCCGAGCTAGACCGTGCCCAATTGGACTACAGGGAGTAATATTTTCCCGGACAAGTCCGATACCGGTTTCCCGACCATGAAGGAATGAGAGGACTCCTGAGTCCGTAGAGGAATCGAACCAGCACTGTGCTCGTGAACGTCGCACACTCTGACAAGTAGTATTTGAAAAGCCGACCAAAATTTTTAGTGAGTTCTAGAGATAGATTTTAAGATGTTCTGATCTTATTATTATGAATAAATGCCGGACGTTCATACTAGAACAAGTGATGTGATGAACATTGAAGGAAAAACCATCGTGATGACATATCAATCCATTTTGAAGTGATGTGCAGCGAGGCTAAAGTGGTTATTGAAAGGATCGAATAGCATTCTTCATCACTGTTTCAGTTGCAGTAACTATTCCATCCAATAGTGAGTGGGTGATAACCACTACCTCGTAACTGGTCAGGTCGAAGAACGTGCTGCGAACACACCTCTCACCATATTTAGTTTCTGTCAGCACTCCTGAGGTCCTCTTATTTGGACCTTCTTTTACAGATTCTCAGCAGAATCCTCAAAAAACTGATAGTCGTACGTGTAGTTCTCTAGGGCAGCATATCAGTTTGACAGTTTTTGCAAACAGACATCTTTTTCAATGTAGCATCTAAAGCCTCGGCTTTCATATAAGGTCCTGAGCGTGTTGCATGATCTTCGGACCGATGTTCGACATTGACGAAAACTGTGTTTTCGAAAACAAAACACAGTTAACAATTAAGCAATTCCCTATGATGTGGAGATCGATCGTTATGTGAACAAGTGCTGTGTGTATATTTAGCAATTGTGTTCCAAAGGATGTCAGAAGTGCCACCGAACGAATATAATCCGCTAGGCAATTTCAACACGCAAAAACTCAGGAAGTAGAACTTCGAGCTTTCTAATCATTCAACAATTAGGAGGATAGGTGATAGAGAAAAAGTTCCTTTTATACGATTTTTTAGTGACGCTTCCCTTCGCTCATTTCGTTTTTATAGACAAAAAAAGTAAGCTAAAACTCGACAAATGCTTTACCTACTATCACAATGTTCGATATAATTGTTCCCATTATGTGGATGAAGTGAGATCGAAAGGGGATTAGCATTGCATCCGATCCAACTTCCTTATTTTGAGGGTAGATTACCGTAGGCTGCTGACCAGAAAACGGTACGCATACATAGAATCGTGCACGTAGTTGCGACAGCCATACCTCTGCACTACGCAATGATGTCCTAAATAACCATTTTTCATAATGAATTGGTCGAGGAAGTGGTAACTTCACTCACACAGATTCACCGATGGAAAGTGCCGAGATTTGATTAGGCACCTCCCACTTGTTGACCGGATGCAATCGAGAACTCTCAAAGCTCCATCGGAAAGATCTAACTAAACAGTGACTATAGAACACCCGATAATTCTTGAACTCATGAATATATGCCTTTCTTCCAACGGTAACATAGAAATTCCAAACCAAAAAACCCGACTTACTTCGGCTTCAATCAATCTTCAATAAACTTTTAGAAATTAAAGAAAAGTCGAAAGGAGAAATCAAGTAGAAAAAGAATAGGCATAAAGTGACAAAAAAATAAGGGATAAAGCACTCGGCGCTGATCCATGATCCATAACGGATGTGCCATACATCCGACTTCATTAAACATTGCCGGAGATGAGTGAACACATATCTGGCTTTCATAATGACTCATAGTGGCCTACCGATGTATCTAGCCAGTGCTGCTATCCTCCCAGACAAGAGCGGGACCAATTTCCCGACCCTGTAGGCATGGAAGGCTTGGTGAGCCTGGGGTGCGGGAATCGATCCCATGAGTATTGCAGGGCGCCTCCAACCACTGCACTCTATGTGTCCTTCATGAAGTGATAACTTCAAAAACACTAGAGTTCGTCTGATTTCAAATGGTTGAGATACTATGCAGTCTAGAACAAAACAACAAGAATTTGAGTAATATTGGAAAACCTTATGAAAAACATGTTACACACCTACTCTGTCTGTCATTATGACAACAAGTTCCTCTTGTCCATCTCCATCAACGTCCATTACATACGCCGCCGCTATGTTTGACTGCAATATGGCTATACACCTGCCACCTACCTTTCTGCCATTAACATTACTTCTAACGCTTTACTAGACTGAAAATCGCAGTTAACGAATACCTGAACTGTCTGACTATACACACTTGAATCATGACTGTAAGGTGGGTGAACACATTGTAAGAGACCGTCTGCCGCAATCGCTATTAGCTCTGGTCTAGACGAAAACTTGCCTTATTAAAGAAATTTTGTAAAGTATAGACACAACTTATGGTCTCATTTTCACACTAGATTTCCTCAACAAACCTTGTCCGTACCCTTCCTCTTAAATTACCTATTGCTAACGCGGTTATGGGCGAACTAGTTCTGGACGGCATCTTGACCACGTCGCTGCTTCCATCGCAAGCCATGAAATGCACCTAAGAAGAGATACCTTCCGAATTGTCATGATAGAATAATGACACACTAATAACGATTATATGGTGGTCCAACGTGCAGCCAGAGCTAACGGTTTCACCAAACTAGAAGGCCTCATTCATATTGCAGAAAAAGACGGTCAATGAACTACCGTTCTCTTGTTTACAAACAGATCTACTATCGATTCAACAACACAAAACCTATGGAGACTAAAGCTCAACGACCGCGTATTAAACCTACCAACAAGCACTAGTTACTTGCTTGGAAACTTGCATGATCTACGATCAGTAGTGCGGGCCACAACACATTAATGAACCGCTTTGAGCACGGTAACATCCCACGAACTGCATTTCGGGGTACGTCATTTAATGTCCCTTACTAATGCAGATGATTGACATGAGCCACAAACACGTGGATCTGTTGTGATCGCACGAAAGGATGCTGTTGTCTTGACGTTCGTGGGATAGCTCTCTTCGTCAATCTGTCATCATCATCATTCCTTCTTATTATATGACTGGCGCACTTGTGTTTCATCATCTATGTATTATTCAACTGAATGCCGTGCACTTTGGTTAGGCGCTGTACACACTCATTGTATTCCAAAGGGCATCGTTGAACAGCCCAGTGGGTAGTGTGCAAATTTCTCGACGTAGTTTGACAGTTTGCCACACCCTTTCCTTGTGTAGGTGGTAAGATGTCGATGCAAACGTTATGTTTTCGTGGTATAATTACAATAACAGTCAACTAGACTTCCTATATATGACGGTTTTACTCCTCAACAACCACTAGAACATAATTGCTACAAACTGCATCTGATTCGAAAAAGAAATTTGGCCTGTTATTTTTTACAACGTCTCATGAACCTCTCCCGTCACACAGTGCTCTAGTAAATGAGTCCTGGATTACGAACAAGAACACACCAAATGGGGTTTCCTTCCCGATGTTAAATTGAGAAAGACCCCAATGTTTCGACTTTGAAGTTCAGCCAGGAAAAAAAATATCAGTCCAATGAAAATGTAGCTGAGATTTCCGTGAATTCGAGATTTCAACACCAAGATTGGACCAAGAAGAACATATGAAGAACGTCACATGGGGAACCAGGGATTAGAGTGGAACGAACAGGATGAGCAGCTGTCTGAGTTTATCATAACGAACAAAACATCCATGTTAACTGGCAATTTCAGAAACCTCACCTTCAACGCTGGACGTGGAAGTCTCCCAGTGGAGGGTACCATAACGAAATAGACCATATCATAGTAAACAGGTTTTGTCTAATCGATGTAGCTGTTGTTCCAAAATTCTACACGAGATCAGAACATTCCCTCCTTCGTGCAAGATTTCATTTCTCGCAGAGAGGAGAAAAGGCCACTAAATTCAAAAAAAACGAAGTCTCAAAACCACCATAAATTGGGACTCACTCAACTCACTACTCCGCTGTTGGGAAGATGCCGTTGTCGATAACATCGACGAAGAATACGATCGCCTCATTCAACATCTTCATATTAGCGCTATGAAAGCGGAGAGTTCGAAAGTCAATAAGACACGTCTGTCTCCAGAAACACTCGAACTAATACGCCAGCGTGGAATCGCACGAGCAGCAGGCAAAAGCGAACCAGCGTCCCAACTTGCAAAAGAACGCAGAGAGGCGATAAAAGAAGATCGTAAATAGAGAAAAGCAGCAGTTATTGTCGAAGCTGCAGATGCTGGGAAAAGCATTCGCAATGCCCACAGAAGCTTCGCCAATTACAAGACCAAGATGATTGTACTCCGACACCCAAACGGAACAGTTATAGCGTCCAGAAAGGCAATTGAGAAAATCATTCACGAATACTACTCAGATCTCTTCGATAGCCACATCCACCTGTCATATGAAATAAAGGAGGACGGATATGTTGTATCACCACTTCTCTGTTACGCAATCCGACATGCTATTTCATCGGTGAGGAATCGAATAACATAAGGCCCAGATAGGATAACATCCGAAAAGCTAGAAAACGTTTTGCAAGACTTCATAAAGACAATGGCACGGCTCGTCACACGTTATGTCTGAATGCAAGATTCCTACTCAGTGGAAGACCAACACGGCAGTGTTATTGTTCAAGAAGGGTGACCTACACGATATCGGCAAGTATCACCCAATCTGCTTACTGTCCCTCGTCTATAAACTTTTCACTCGAGCCATCCTAAACAGGATTGACAGAACACTAGACGAAGGACAGCCATGTGAGCAAGCAGGGTTTCGAAAAGGATTTAATACGATGGACCACAACTACACGATAACAAGACTCATCGAAGTATCGCGAGAGTACAAAAGACCACTCTGTCTCACTTTCATCGATTTAAGGAAGGCCTTTGACACAACTGCAATAGAAGCATTCATGAAGGCCCTTGATAGTCAAGGAGTCCCTACAGAGTACATAAAAATTTTTCGTAGGCTGTACAAAAATTTCACAACCAAGATATCACCATTCTACAACGATATTAACATTAACGTCAAAAGAGTGGTTCGGCAAAGCGATACCACCTCGCCAAATTTATTTACCTCCACCCTCCAGAACGTCATGCGAACATTGAAAAGGCATAATATGAGAGTGAAAATCGATGGTCAGCAGCTACACCATCTTCGCTTTGCTGATGGAATCGTCCTTATAACACCAAACATTAGCCAAACGGAACGTATGCATGCCGATTTTAATAAAGCCTGTCGAAATATTGGTCTTCGACTAAATCTCACAAAAACGATGTTCATGAAGAATGGATTGGTTTCCTACACTCCAATCACGCTTAACAAAACGAATATCTCCGAATACTCCAGTTATGTCTATCTAGGTGGGGAAATCAACATAATGAACGACTTAGCTCCAGAGTTGAGCAGAATGAAACGTGCGGCTTGGGGAGCTTTCAAGAGCACTGAGGATTTAGTGAAGAGACCAAAGAACACCCGACTACGTGGCCACCTTTTTGACCCAACAGTACTTCCTGCCTTAAGGTATGCGTCAGAAACCTGATCGCTCCGTAAACAGAATGAAAGGTCATTCAGCGTTACCGAACGCGCTGTCGAAAGGACGATGCTAGGAGTATCCTGTTCCACACAAGTAAGGAATGGGATGCGAAGCTCCGATCTACGTCAACGATCACAAATCAAAGATCTGTACCGTTCTGTACGCCAAACAGTCGAAGATAAGGTGGCGCGGACACACAATGCGTATGAATGAAAACAGATGGACAGGAGCCGCTAGCGACTGGATTCTTCGGGATGGCAAACGCACTGCAGGAAGACCACCGACCCGATGGTCAGAGTTCTTCATGAAGAGCCTTGAAAAAAGATATGATGCTGAACGAGTCCCTAGAGAGAACAGAACCCACTGGGCTACTGTTGCACGCGGTAAGGAAAAGTGGAAGATTTACAGGCGCCCGCTCTAGTCACTCGAAGATCAACGGGACTACAGGTTATACAGGTCCTCAAGATAGAGCTTTCACAATGACATCTGATCAACGATAAAAATATGGAACATGAAGTATATTTTGAAAGTCACAAAACATTATGGTTTCCCGGCTTCATATTGAGAACGTGATTGGATTAAGGTGAGAGAAAACTGTGATGTATTCTAATTCTGAACTTCAAGCATAAATTCTAAGAAACAAGTCGTTTTCAGTACGCTGTTATGAACTCATACCTTCTGGCGAACCAACAGACATCACCTCCGACAATAACGAGATCTTATTTTGTTAAAACCCATAGGAGATTTTAGTCACTGTAAGTTTCTACATAGTAGAACCTATTTCGAACTATGGCAACAATAACGAGAAACATCTCCAATTCAACGGAGTTCTGCTGCCTGGTCTAAGTACTAACATCATCATCTTGATGCGACAAATTGCTGCTCATTTCAACATATATAATAGTATAATGATCCAGGACCCAATACCAGGATCCAGCACCGTCCTGTTGTCAGACTACTAGCATAGTGGCAAATCGCCCTGTGATCCACAAGGGTGGCGATTGCCTGTAGTGGTGACGACAATGGGCAAACTTTGGCCAGGCTAACCTGAGGACTCCAGAGAACCACAATGGCTAAATCAGCAAATCTCCGGAAAAAATGGAGAATTTGCTGGGCGCATACAACCAGTGAGGATGGGCCATCCAAGTACTCTAATATAGTTATCAACAGCTAGCAAAAATAGCTTACCTCTCCACTCATTCCGCCTATGATGATGAGAGTTGTGTAGTACTCTGTAGCGGGTAAAAGTAGCAGGGATGAAGATGGTGATGACAGGGAACCAACGATGGTTGAGCGTGGACAAATTGACACCACATTCATCTCTTATCATTAAATACAAACGTATTAAAAAAAAAGAACAACCAAAAAAAACCGGCCGTGGTTTGAACCACTATTATGCACCAAACACAAACCCAATCCACATTTTGTTAACTAGACCACATGGAAGTAAAACGAAAGCGTAATTTATGATACACAGCTATCAACACAAACAAGTTAGCCAGTTGATTGCGTAGATCCCATCGGAACAGCTCGCTGTCTTTTAGATCGTTTTCTCCTGCCTTTCGCACGTGGCTTTTCTGCTTGTTTTGTTAAAACAAGTTTCTTTTTCTTGCACGAAAGGGGATTAGCACCCTATAATGGCAACGAACATAGTAAGAAATATATCACAATACTACGAAGCCATTCGCATTCTTACCTTTACTTTTCGCTTTTTAATTCTGACCAATGGCTCGCCAAATACTGCCGCTTTGATAGCTTTCAAGGTGTCGATATCACTTTGATGGTCCTTTACTTCCACTACATCCTTGGAAGTCTAGAACGACCTCATGTCAACTTCATTACTGTATTTACAAGGCAAATAGGATACCTTGGAAACACGATCGAGAAGAATTGCATTATACTTTATGTAAAGGATAGGCGTACCAGCGATAGTTCTGAGTTTATCTGCAAGAGAATCATCCTGAAAAAAAAAGGAGATGTTTAAACGACTAACAGAAGCCAACCTGCAAATATTACTCTACCAAACAATCATTAACTCATGTTTCCTTCCTTTTTTCTTTCTTCTTCTTCACACTGAAGGGTTTCAAAAGGAGAAACATTGTCAAGATCTCACATGAGACTACGAGTGGAAGATGTGCAACGCGCTACTCCCATTTCTAGAATCACGAAAAGGGTACGGGAGCACTAGTTCAAGATATCACTTTGTGAGCATTACAATCAACTAATAACGATATATGAAGACAAATTCGTAGTAAGCGTAAACAGTAGCTGGTTGACACTAATAAAAGTTTAAAGCTGGTTGACCACGGTGAGAGCCATGAAATAATACATCCACAACCTAACAATACTTTAGAACGTGTATTCTGCTGCAAACGTTCTTAATCTCAAATGTAGAAAAAATTGATCTTCGTTTTGTTGACCAATCCCTTAGGGATGCGCCATGCATTCGACTTCATTAAATATCATTGGAACTAATTGAATGCATATCTGGCCTTTACAATGACTCGCGTTGACCTATGGATGTATCGAGGCAGTGGCGCTATCCTCCCAGAGAAGTCTGGTACCAATTTGCCGACCCCGAAGGGATGGAAGGCTTGGTGGGCCGTGGCGCGGGGATCGATTCCACGTGCGTGTTTCAGGGCGCCTCCGACCACTGCGCCACACGCGTGCCTTAAATAAAACGTACCGACTGCAATTGAGGTGTAAAAAATTGGCAAACCAACTTACATTCGTAGCAATAATATATCTAGTGCCTTTATTGGCAGCACGACGAGCAAGATGAGCCAGACATTCTGCCGGTTTACGACATGGTGTATGTGGACAAATGTCGACAACAAATTGGCGACAAATCACTAGTGCACCATAAACGGGAGAACCCAAAATTTCTAAAAGAATTCTACCAAAAAGAATGTTTTATTTATGAAACACGATTGAATTCATACCAATGAATCACACACTTGTTACATTAATGAATCATTCCCATAGTTCAGCTTAAAACAGAGTAAACTCACCCAGCTCCGCAAGAACACACTTCGTGGTGACAATTTCCACATCGCCGCCTAAGTACTTAGGCAATTGTTCACGTAGATTGATTTTATTTGCAAGAGCAGCTTTGCAAAATGTACCATCAACCAGAACTCTACAAATGCAAAATCTGCTTCTGGAAAAATCCACGAAAAGAATGAAGCCGGATACCTGAATGGTGGGACGAAGTTATAGTTGTATTTGAAGAACGTGAGAATTCGGTTTGCTCTCTTTATCCTTTTGACCTTCATCGTCACTGCTTCTTTCCCTTAACCTGCTGAATTTATATCACAGGGTTTCCTTTATAGGCAAACTTCATAGTTTATCAGAATAAACCGTTCGAAAACAACAACATAGGCACTGTAGAAAACAAGCGAGTGCTATCTCTACAAAGACAACCAACAAATCCGGAAATATTACTATATGAACTAGAACCACGAGCGTTGAGAAGTACCTGAATGCGGAGCAAGTCCGACCAAAAGAACCTCTGGTCTACAAGACGTACCTGTTTCTTGACGCACTCAATTAACTCATTGAACTCCTTCGCACACGCGTCCTGTGTTATTCTCTCAGCTTGCTTCGCAACACAAGAACCGTACGCAGTAGCCTAGATCTTTATATCTCGACAAAACCTATCATCTTATAAGAGCTTAAAAAGATATAGTGTAAGAAAAAAAGTGAAGAAAAAGGCTGCGGTGGAGAACGAACGCGCTATTAACCTTTCCAGGGGTTAACCCGTTCACCAACACACCATGCGGGTCCTTCGTTTCGCATTGTCTCTCAGCTAGTTCTATTGATCTTTTGCCATCACCAATCACCCGTCAGCGGGATTGATCTGGGGAGCTCAGATCGGCAATGAACCCAGTTAAGCTGAGGCTGTAGTCGAAATCACAATCCGGATCAATCCCGATGACGTGTGGTTGCCGATGGTACTGATCGATAAAAACTAGCTGGGAAACAGGCGAAACGAAGGATCCACATGGTGTGGTGGTGAACGTGTTAGCCCCAGGAAAGAGTAACAACGCGTCTATTCCCCACCGCAGACACCTGCGGTCCGGAGTTTTGCAAAAATCTCGGCATCACTGTGGTTGTATCACATGTAATACGGTGCCATGAAAAATTGTAGTAGGCAGTAAATAAAAAGTTAACATTGAAGTAAAAGTATCGCCACAATGGTGCTGAGATATTTGCATTAGCGAGTTCTTTCCCCACACGTGCACCTGCGGTCCGGAATTTTGCAAAGATCTCAACACCACTGTGGGTATATTTCACACCATATATTGTCATAAAAAATAGGTAGTGAATAAGAAAGTAAAGAAAAAGTATAAAAAGGAACACGGAAAAGTATTAACTTGCCTGAGGAGTGCACTGAATAAGGCTAGGAACAAGTCTCAATAGACGCCGTTCATTTGGCATAAGACCTTAGCTTAAGTAGGACGGCTTATTAAGTTCTTAAGTAAAAACCCAATATTTGACCAGGATCCTCGACAGAATAGAGGAGCTAGCGGTGTTAATGAACAAATATTTATCCAATATAACATTTAAAACAATGTAATGGACAAGTTAATGCACAAGTGAAAATCGGAATGTAAATAGAGGCTGGAGAACTAAGAAGAACAGGTCTAATCTTTCTAACATGGAAACAAACCTAACAAACCTCTACTTAAGTACGTGCTATAAATCTTCCCATAAAGGATCATATTGTTTTAAAAACAAACATTGCATACTGATGGACGTCCGAAGAACATAGACCATTTCGAAGTGGCGAATCGAAATCGAGGGAAGAAATAAAATGAAAGACGTCAGAAAACGAAGACAGAAGTTTAGCAAAAACCACAGGTTCAGATGGCATCTTCTGCAATACTATCCTTAGATTCTTGAAGTTCGAAATGCACAATGTTACTCAAAACAAAATCATCTCTGTTAACAGAAATCATTTGTCATCAGTAATACTTTAGAAAAAGAACTACTATAAGCAGTTTTATTTTCAGGTTATTATTTTCTTGGATATTTTATTACCAACCCAACCACAATCCACCTAAAAAACTCCACAGATGAAATCAGCTTGGATGGCCCGTTCTCACTGAACGTGCCGGTTCCAGCATAATTTCCATTTTTTCGGAGTTCTTCTGTTTTAACCATTGTGGTTCACTAGAGTCACAAGCTCAGCCTACGCCACTGTCTCAAGTAGTCATCACGACAGGCAGTCGTCACCCTTGTGGACCAGAGGGAGATTTGCCACCAAGCGATTAGTTTGATGCCAGGACGGTGGTGGATCCTGGTATTGGTTTACTCTTAACTGGGCTTCCTGATGGAAACGCCGACTTCTCAGCTTATGATACCTTACCGGAAGGATGAATCCCCCGGAGTACATCGCAATTCGACACCCACAACACCTCCGAGCCACTATGAGGCGGCAAATCGTTGGGAGGAAAATGCACACATGCTTAGATTAATAAAGGGAAGTCCTGTAACCGTGCGAATTCTCCAAATACTTAATAATTTCATGTCGAGATCAATCAAAATAAAGAGCAACACGATGACAAATGTGTTGAAGACCAAGAACGGTTTAAACTGAAATTTTTGATGGCGAATAGCGTTGAAGGCCCAATGTTAACAAATAACACGATACGGTAATTGGTAATGTAGCGCAAACCATATCTTAAAAAACCAAAAGACTTTAGAGTGGTTGAGAGAAAGGCAAAGCAAGAGCTTCGATTAGTGATGAGCGGTTAGTGAAGTGGATAACACATGAGCCTTCGGAATGGGCAATCGCGGGTTTGAAGCCCAACCGTGGTTTTTAGTCTTGCTCCTATCTCAGTATCCTGGCCATTATATTTCACATTATAACCGTTCATTTAAAAAAAGAAAGGTAGATAAAAGTTGTAGCCACACTTACATGGACCGCTGCAGTAAGATAGAAGTCTACCAGACTTGCCAATGTTTCACGAAACTTTTTCGATTCCATGGACTTCACTAAACCAGTAAGAAGTTTCATGACTCCATCTTGAGAATTCCTCTGGAAAAGAAGATAGAGTATGGGAATATACACGAGGAAAAATGAAAAGAAAAAAGAATACATCTGCATCAGTGAGCGGGGCAACCAGTCCAGAATAGAACGTAGAATCCAGCATCGATAACTGTCGATCTCCTAGATTCAGAACATCGCGCATCTTGTCCTTATTGACATGATCCGTCAGTGCTACTGTCGAACAAATTTGCTTGCAGACATCTTCAACCACATCCAACATCTTCGTAACTCCTACGTAAAGAATTTTTAGGCAGCTCGAAGTTCTCCAGAGGTAAAGTACGTTCAGTGAACAGATTCATAAGTCAACTATGAATCCAGTAGAATACTGCTTACAGCTAGCACTTTATAATGAGTTATTTTACTATAGAAGCTGTTAAACATTTATAAACCTCTGGACACTAAAAAAAAGTGCTCACCAGTCACTGTGAAGTACTGGATACATTCCATAAAAACTTTTCTGTTCGCAGCAATACTGCTTGTATCAACCGATGGTATTGAACTTGGCACAGAATTCAAGCCAAGGTAGTTCGCCATATGAGACTTAGCTGTGCTTAACCTGAAAAAACGCTTTGCTTCAAAAAATAACTTGTTTCAAAAAAAGGACGTAAACATTTCCACAGCACCAGGATTGCGAATGAGGCTCTTCGAACTGCGAACACACATCTGCTGCTAAGATTGAAATCTGAGTCTTAAGCGCTAAGATCAGCAAAGAATACGAATACGCTATACCAATAATTCGAGCTATGCTGAGTACCTAAAACTCAATCGATAAACACTGATTTTAACTTATTGTTTACTGCCTACTTTTTTGAATGACAGGTTATATTGCAAAATATAACTTCAATGATGCTGAGATATTTGCAAAACTCCGGGCCTCAGATGTTTGCGATGGGGAACGAACGTGCTATTGTCCTTTCCGGGGAGTAACGCGCTCACCACTATACCAAGCGAGTCCTTCGTTTCGCCTGTCTCTCAGCTAATTCTATCGATCTCTGCCATTAGCAATCACCCGTCAGCGGAATCGATGAACGCGTTACTGCCCAGAAAGGACAAAAGCGCGTTCGTTCCCCACCGCAGACAACTGCGGTCTGGAGTTTTGCAAATACTTTAGCATCATTGACGTGATAAACACTAAATTGCAACACTGTTATATCAAAAGGTAAATTGTCATCACCTTCACTCTATTCCATATTTGAACCTTTTCCTCAAATGGCAAATTCCGATTCTCTTTCAGTCTGTGTATAAGTGTTTCAACGTCGAATCTACGCTGAAAAGGTCATGCCCTACTTTGAGGAACACGGATTTCTGACGAAGAAAAGTGGCCATCTAGACTAACTTGCCTGAACCAAAGACTCTATATTCGGAACAATGTCGGTGATTGATTGATCACATGCACGATGGTTAGTGTCGAAGACATAGTGACGTCTAGCCTAGAATATCTAGAAATACGAAAAACATTATCACTGAGCACTGGTGTCGAAGTTAGAAGTTAGACTACCCAGGTTTATGTAAAATACAGTGACGCTGAGATATTTTCAAAACTTGGAACCCAGACCAGATTGCACTGCGATTACCCTTTCCAGGGGCTCACGTGTTACCCAGTGTACCACTAAGGCCTTTGGTCTGCCTTTTCTCAGCCAGTTTTCTATCCATCGGTGCCATCAGCAAACTTCCACCAAAGGGATTTGTCTGGGGACCGCGAATCGGCAATGAACCAAGTTAAGTTGAGATACCAGTTCAAATCACAACGTAAATCTTTTTCAGGGTAGACTGGCTGAGAGAAAGGCAGGAAGAGGGTCTGTGGTACAGCGGGTAACATGTGCGTCCCCGGAAATGCTAATCGTGGTTATCATCATTGTGGTTGTATTTCACACAACACCCTACCTGCGAAAAAAAATTATAGGCAGTAGATAAAAGTTATACCCAAGTTTACTTTTAAAACAAGCACTTTTCTAGTCAGTTATGTAGCCTAGGATAAACTCCCAAAGCATTAAGGAAATTTCTCACGTAAACTACTATAAATGAACCATACATAGCCTCATCCTAACAAAATACTCAACGGATACTTTTAAGGAATTAAGAACAAATCAAGACAGTGAATTAAATTAGAAGGGTTAGTTAGAATTTAATAAGGATTCTTGCCAATCCCATATGGCTCTGTAAGTAGTGTTGAGATAGTAGGTTATAACCTAGGTTATAGAAGAATAAGAATTCTGTTCTGAAGAAAAATTTCAGCGTAACCTAATATAACCCTGGGCTATAACCCAGCACGTCAAGACTACTTACACAACCATGTGCGACTGGCAAGCCTTCTTCGTTAATAAGGATTGATTAGCTACGTTTCTAATGCTGATATCTCGAGTGACCTGCACTTTCATAGCGTCTTGACTGCAAACACCCGACACCTTCATTCCATGCTGATGTTGTTCCTTCATTTGCAAAATATAAGCAGCAATACCACTGACAATAATTCCTCCAGTGATGACCTTGCCTTTATTTCTCTTGATAACTTCCCACACAGTTGACATTTTACAAAACTAAAACGGCAGTAAAATATAAATGAACAAGGAATGCCGAGGAAACGTCTGCAATATTAAAGTGCGAAAAACGCCATGGATGCGCTAAATAAATATTCCTAGTAATAATCCTAATCCTTAATAATCCTTATCCTAAATAATCTTAGTACAAAGTAAATGCTTCAATGTGCAAAATGCACCTAATGGGTAGGGATCCGACTAATCTGCTCCATTACAAGTTTCCGCGTCCGTCCTTTAAAAAAGAACCTTGCCAATTTTCGTTTCGGTACTGGCTAGCATTCGTTTTTGAACCGTCTACGTATCGTTCACATATTCCATCCCCTTACTCGGTTTCAGTCACTTTTTCATGGGCAAGTGTTTTTCATAGAAATTCCATTCGTGTTTTCCGTCGAACTTTCTCTAATTTTCTTTGAATACGTGGTACTTAAGGCGCCTGAGAGGAATCGCAACTCAGACAATGAGCAGAGAGAGGTGAGCAATCAACTGGCAATAGACCAGTTAACAGAACCTTTTGTTTGTTTTGTTTAGTTGTGTACACCTTTTATTGGTTTAGAACGCTAGAACTAATGAGTTATTTTAAGTGCACCACCAATGAAAAGATTTCGTCGTGATGAACTGGCTGATCCGACAAATCCAGAACCGTCGCTAGTAGTGCATGTTCGTAATCTGAATCCAAAGGTCGGTTTGTGTCTAGGAAACAACAGATTATATGAAAAGCATGGATGGTATGTTTTTCAACTTTATATCGTTTCATGATTGCAAATGGATGTGCTTTTGAAAGGATTTCTAACTAGGAGACGGGCTAGGCGCACTTAAATTCCAGCTTAATTTGGCCTACTTTTGGTACTTTCGTAACTTGGTTTCTGAGTTTTCCTAGGAGAGCGTGTAGAGCAATGGTCAGAGGCGCCGTGCATTCCACATAGGACCGATTCCCGCTTCCCAGGTTCACCAAGTCTTCGACCCCTCCGGGTTAGGCAAATTGGGACCAGATTTGTCTGGGTGGATAACAGCACTGGCTCGATATATTGGTAGGCCACCGCGGGTCATTGTGAAGGCCAGACATGCATTCAATCACCTCCAACGATGCTTAATGAAGTCGAATGCATGGCGCATCACTCAGGGATAGATCAACGCCTAGAGCTTCGTCCTTTTTGCCGGTCGATATCGATTTATTTTCATTTACATATGTATGGTTTTAACCTAAATGAGGAGCTGTGTTGTAAAAGCACAAGCAGTGAAGATGGGAGTGTTTTCCATAGTTGAAATGCGTTTTAATTGTTTTAAAATTCTACAGTATACAGCAATCTTTAAGTTAAGCACTTTAGTTGCGTTTCTTAAGAAATGTTAGTCCTTTTATGAGTGAAAGTACTTCCTCGCTATTGTTTTACAATCATAAGGCGATTAGATTCTTTGGATGTTTTTATGTCGGTATAATAGAAATATCCTCTGGTAGTTGCGGAATGATCTGTAATCGATAGAGAGAGGGCTGTGTGAAATGATCCACTATTGATATTGTATCTTCTTATCAGTATCGAGCTTTTATTATTGAACTTAAGACAGAATTATCTTTAATAAGACCCAATGTGTGTAGGTTGAGTGATTTACAAGAGCTATGACGTAATTCTTGTAAAGCGACAGTTGACCAAGAACCTATATTTGTTCCTTATAACTTTAAAGGTTTTCCTAGGATTTACTTTGATCGGATTATGGTTTTTAGGCCACTGAAGCTGATTTGATAGAAGCGCTCGGAACGTTTGGTTTAATTGCCTACGTTACTGTTATTCCAGCACAGAAGATGGCATTAGTTGAATTTGAAGACATCGAAGGTGAGAAGACGTCTGTCTGGAAAGTAACCAGTCATTAGTACTAGTAGAGAGGTTTTTAGAATTCTTTTTTTGTTAATTCTTAATCTCCACTATTTTCAGCCGCTCGAGCCTGTGTAACTTTTGCAGCATCCAATTTAATTTTTGTTGCTGGAGATGCTGCATTATTCAACTATTCTACTTCACAAAACATTCAGCGCTTGGGGTTTGAATCGGAAGCACCATGTAAAGTATTGGTGATTACTGTATACAACGCACAATATCCTATTGATGTCCATGTTAGTAGTTCAGTCTCTGTTAAGGACTTTTCCCACATGTATTTTTATTTCGTATTTTTTCTATCCAGCGGGGGCGTGTAGCGCAGTGATCGAATGTGCCCTGGAATAGGCATGGGATCGATCACAGCACCCCATACTCACCAAGTCTTCCCTCCAGAGTCGGAAAATTGGTACGAGACTTATTTGGGAGGGCAACAGCACTGGCTCGATACATCGGCAGACCACCGCGGATCGTATAGACCAGATATGCATTCAGTTAGCGATGATGCTTAATGAAGTCGAGAATGCATGGCACACCTCTCAGAGATTGATCAACGCCGAGAGCTTTATCCTCTTTTTTATTTGTTGTACCTCGATTACTTGCGTTACACATAGAACTACTTATGAATTTACAGGTCATTCATCAAATATGTGAACCTCACAGTAAAGTGTTGAGGATTGCAATAGTGAGGAAGTCTATGATGCAAGCACTTGTTGAATTTGAAAATGCTGAAAATGCGAAGAAAGTGAAGCACGCAATCAATGGTGCCGACATCTATTCGGGATGTTGTACGCTTAAAGTTGAATTTGCAAAGGTATATGGTGACCGTTTAAGTTTTCTAGTGTTATTTTCAGTTAATCTGATTCTTATTTTATACAGTATTTTAACTTTTGTATACTTTGGTATCAAGGGCTGATGACGTTTGTTATTCAGTGCATTATAGTGTGCAGCGCTGTACTACAAGACAGTGGTCCGAAAATATTAAATTTTGCTATTCTACCCTAGAAGCGCATCAGTCAATTGATTATTTTTTAATTAACTCTAATGCTTTTCATTTTCCATCATAAAAATGTGCTTGGAGTGACTGCCGCTGTAGCATGAAAGTTCGATGAAAATTAGTAGAATATCTTCAAGGTGAATGGCTATGCAATCTATGTATCTATGTTCTATCTATGTTAGTCATTCTTTCAGTGGTTGACGTAACCTCATGATCAAAAATTGGTAGTAGAGAGAATTGAATTGAAGAATTAAGAATTGTCAAATTCCTGACTAGATTGCAGTCAACGTACCTTCTCTGAAGAAGGCGAAATCCGCCGGAACGTCAGTTTTTATGGATAAATAAATAGTAGAGCCACAACTTCGTGTTTGCTCCTGAAGGAAATAATGAGCGATCAAATGATACTCTCGATTATCAAGCAATTACTAAGCAAAGTACGCATTAAGCGAACACTAGTGATTGATCAGGCAGTAACTGATCAGAAGATGAAGTGATTCATGATATCTGGATTCGGGTTATCTAGCAAAGCCTAGGTAGAGGGTTAGAGTATAGTACAAGCAGACAAAATCGAAATGGTACAATTATGCTCATGCGGGAAAATGGGTCGCGCGTAACGTAGACGATCCAGGAACATTTGGGTGTTCGTTAGATGAGCTGGAATTTACTTTAAGAACTAAGTAAGTATTGCGGTTATTAACCACGTTATTCTATCCGTTGGCCCGCCCACCCAGGTCTAACCTTAAATAACGATGGATCGGTAGACACGAGATCATCGCTGGATACTAACTTATGGGTTTTGATAAGTAAGTAGAGGACAGGACATGTTGGTAAGTCAATTTTGAGATGAGAGGTAACTGATGGTTTTAACCCATACGCTCTTGCCATTTTAACCCATTTGTTGTTTAACTTTCGGTATTGACTTTTAAATTTCTTCTCAAACGGCGGACGATAAAGGGAAGCATTTTCAAGGTGTTTTCCATTATCTCAACATCTGATGGGGAATTACAACGAACTCTCCACCCTTATCACTAGCCGATAGTATTATGTTTTTCTATCTTATCAGCTCTCGTACCTCCCGCATAACACGTTTTTGTATTTCAGTGAGGTTGGAGCGGTATCTCTTAGCGCGACAGTGATTAAGGACTTTGAAAGTTTCATTCGTAAACATCTGAAATTTAACATCAACTTCATTATTGGGTTCTTGTCTAAAGAACGGTTGAGGAAATGGTGGTACTGGTATTGCCCCTACTTTTTGTTGTTCGCGCCTACTCTGCGCTTCATCTCTAGCCTTTTTGCGGAGTCTATCTTGAAGTTCATGTAAACTACATGCGACTCTATGCAAGGTTACCTTAGAAATGGGTTCAGATGATAAGAAACTCGGTCCCAATTCTAATAACGAGCGCGCACCGTCAGGGAGGGTCATGCCTCTTAGCAAGCTTAGCCTTGAGTTTCTTGGCACATTATTTATCCTACTGGGACTCGTTTGATCTTTGTTGGTGGTGTTTCTGTATGCTCCTGAAGCTGTGTCATGCGATTTACTCAAAAGGTCTTCGAATTTTCTCCGCAAAATTATTTTAGCATTAGACCTGATAGAGTTGCAAATCAACACTAACACACCCACTATTCTCCTCCACAGGTGGTCGTCCAAATACTGAGCACGAAAGCTTTCTTTCTTCTCGCACTTCTTCCACTTGGGGAACACCTGGTTTTGTTTTCTTCGTAGACAGGCGCGTAGTACTTGCAATTCGATGTCCAGTACTCGGTGGTCATCCTCTGGCAGTTCGCATACTTCGTGTAGTCGTTTTCTTTTTATGAATTTTGGAACGACTTGGTGTTTTATGCAGCGGCGGAGAAAGTGTATCGCTTGTCGAGCTAAGACGATCTTTTGTCTTAGTGACAGTGCTTCTTTTGCAAGTCGGAAATATCTTGCTGGTATATTTTGTAGTAACTCCCAAGTCCGACTTTCTATTAACCTCGGCTTTGATTGAATAATTCTTTCTATTTCTGTTGAGAGGTGTTCAAATACGAGGTGCTATTTATTTCTTTACGTACAAGCTGACGTTTCGGCGGATTTTTCCTTCCTGGAAAGGTAAAGTTGACAGCAAACTATTCGGCCAAACACCTCCATAACCAAAGAGAGAAAACGCTAAACCAAAATTTCAATCACATTTAAGAAATTATAAAAGAATTATTCAATCAATGTCAAGGTTAATAGAAAGTCGGACTTGGGAGTTACTAACGACTGTGCACCATCGATTCGGATCATCGAATAATGATGACGTCGAATTGTTAGCCGAATAAATATTTAGTAACAAACCCGTGTTAGCTTATCAATGGAGTAAGGTACTGTCTGTTGCGTTTTACTGTTATCATTCAGCTAAATGTTAGGAATACTAATCAATATGTATTCTTTATTTGATGAACTTACACGAAGTTGATAATGATATTTATTTTCGGCTAACGTTTCGACTTCTTCGTCCTCAGAGCAGATGATCTGAGTCGGTGGTCCACACTTGTTGTTCGTCTTGACGTGGCAGCTTCGCCTTCGTGTCGAGTCAGGTCTTCCTCAGTGAGCATCTCTTCGAATGAGGCATCCTCACTCAGTGATGTCCTTTTATGCAGGTTGCTGATGGTGGATAGCTGTCATTGTCCGGTGGTAGTGTGATAATAACTTGTTTTTCCCGGACAATCAAACCTGTAGAAGTCGGTGTTATTAACAACTAACACAAAGCGTAGTAATATTTCGAAACCGACTTTCCTTGAACCTCGGTATAACTAATCAATATATATTCTTTGATGAGCTTACACGGGGTTGATATTGATATTTATTTTCGGCTAACGTTTCGACGTCTTCGTGCGCTTTTATGCAGGTTAGAAATACTATTCAGAAATATCATAAAAAATGGGTAATGGATACAGCCGATGATATAAACATCAAACCAAACGAAAAGGGCTTATATATTTAAGAATTTTTAAAATTATTTTTCTGCTGTGTTATCTGATCTAGTTGATTTCTAGCCAGACTATGTGAAAGTCACTCGTCAAGACTCGGATCAGTGGGACTACACGTTGTCCGAAGGTATAAACATTGGTGTTTAGTTTTGTGGTCTTGGTGATTTTCTAATGACAAGCTATTTTCTGTACGAATACTTTTATGGTTTTCTGTAAAACGGTGATTTTTCTGTGGTCATTGGCTTCTAATCAGGAAGCATATGGTTAGAAACATTTTTCGCTTAACGCGACGCGACACGTAACATTTGTTGATTTGTTTTCTGTGATCATTTGAAAAATAGCTCGGAATTTCAAGTAATATTCGAGCATCGCCAGCATTTCGATCACTCTGCTGGTTTTTTATCTCAGAAATAAAGGTTAAAGCTTTCTACGTTGATCAATCCCTAAGGGTTGCGCTATTTATTCGACCTCATCAAGTATCATTAGAGATGTTTGAATGCATATCTGGCCTATGCGATTCATCGCATTGGCCTACCGATGTATCGATTCACTTCTACTATCCTCCCAGACAAGTTTGGTACCAATTTACCGACCCTGGATTGAAGGGATGGAAAACTTGGTGAGCTTGGGGCATGTTATCGGACTCATGTGTATTGCAGGGGACCTCTCACTACTGCCTGCGCTTCATGAATCTTTACTTGAGAATTATTTCAGTTTTATTACTGCCATTAGCTTTCTAAGACTTGTAGTTACTGCTTTGTATGACGTTGAGGGTGAGAATGATTTGTGAAACGCAGTTTTGAATATGAATATGGTGCAGAATGCGCGTAGAGTAAACTGCTGTACAAGAAATATCTATGGTTAGTCGTCTCAAAAGCTTGTTTTTAACCATATCTAAGGACGTGTGATGTGAATCTCGCTGCTGTACTGTGTTGTTCTGCACTTATCAGTTTGCGAAAATGCAGATTTAAGCTTTCAGGTGGGAAGGGCGACGCGGCTGGTGAACACAGAACGCAGCGGAAAACGCTTCTGCCCGGAGGAGGTAAAAAGTTTTCTTTTAGATTTAGTCACAGTAAATTTGTTGTGGTTCACTAAAGCATAACTTCAAGCGATTGTTTGGTACAACATCCACGTCCATTTACATTGATTTCACTATGTATATGCTTGAGTATTACAAAGTATTTTAACTTTTAACAAACAAATCTTGGTTTTTTAAGATCGTTATTTGAAGTGATAATCTTAGGGTGTGTGAATCTTCGTTAACAGTACTCTTTAAGTGATAAAGGAAACTTTATTCTACAAGTCGGTCACATCCATTTTCGAACTGTTAAAGTTACCGAACAGTTATCGACAGTTCGAAAACCAGTACTGTTGCGATTATGTTAGATTCTCCTGGTCATGGGTTAATAGACGCCAAAGAATTCCTCAATGTCACAAGATATGTGGTGTAAAATATTCAGCACCTCCTGGTGGAGCGGTTCCATACTATGGCGGAAAATCGGGGTATCCCAAAATGGAAGAGAACAACGGCTATGCAGATGATCCTTATGCTTTTCGTGGTTCATTTGTACGTTATTTTTTATTTTTTTATTTTTTTTTTTGGTGTCTAGTGATTGTTGTAATTCGTCCTAATCTCAAGTTTCGTTGGTGTTGTGATTTAAGCAACGTTATATAAATTATTATAGGCCGGACGTGGTTATGATAGCTATGGTGGACCGTCTCGTGGCAGTTTTCCTTCACGTTGGTTGTGTAGACTAGTTAGATGTTTTTATTGGGAGGAAGTTATTGTTATAATTTTCCATTATAGGTCGAAGACTTCCACCTGATTATCGTGGCGACTGTGGAGACTATGACACACCTCAGCATTATCCTCCAGTTGGTGGCTCGGTAATGTCTAGTACTTATTTGATATGGGTATTTACGTAAAATATACTTTTCAGGGCTGCGTAGTGATGATTTACGGCATTGATCAGGAGAAACTGAATTGTGAGATGCTGTTCAATTTGTTATGTCAATATGGAAACGTTCTTAGAGTATGTTGCACTTATTTGCTGTACACTTTAGTTGTTGCTCTGCTTGCATCGTATTATCTCTGAATATAGATTCGATTTATGGCAACAAAAAGGGACACCGTTATGGCTGAACTTGGGACACCAATGGCGGTATGTTGCAGATGTCGAAATTAGAGACATTAGACCTTAGCGTTTTAAATCGGTTTTTAGGTTACCAATGTCTTGAAGTATCTTCAAGGAATAACGTTGTTTGGTTTAACTTTGCAAATGAAACCTAGTATCCAGAATAGTGTTAGAGATGTACAGTAAGTACTTGGATTTTTTCTTTTGCAGTTCTGCAATTAGAATTGAGTTATGGTGTGTTTCAGTGAACCGTTTAGTCTTCCTGATGGATCTCCGTCGTTCCGAGACTACTCTATGTCTGCACTTCAACGTTTTTCAACACCAGATGCAGCTGCACGCAACCGACTTATTTATCCGACAAAGATACTGCACTGGTATAACGCTCCTGTCAATATGGACGAGGATAAAGTCAGACAGGTTGGCTTTACTGTTGGCAAAACAATGATTTCGTTTGTAGGGATTAACTTGCTTCCCTTGTTTACAGCTATTTTCGGAAAGAAATGCTCCGGAACCCAAGTCTGTCACAGTATTTGTTGGACGAAGTGAAAGATCGTCCTCTGGTACTGTGGAAATGGAGACAATTGAATCAGCGAATGAAGCACTCGCTCTCGTTAATCACACCCCGGTTGTGAGCCCTCTTGGAAAAGTTGGTTAAATGATAGTATGCGACTTTTAAAAAGAAAAACTTTGAGAGACAAAAAGTAGCAATAATTCTTCAATATTTCCTAAGGCTCATCTTATACGATTTCAAATTCGAAATTTTCTAGACTCCATACATTGTGAAGTTAGCCTATGCGACTCCTTCACGACGTGTCGGAGGTGATTCGGCTTCGGAGGATACTGGCGGAGGTGATGTTGGGTCGGGTTTTGTTCAACGAAGAGGGTTCAGAGGCGGTCCTCGGGGAAGTAGACGGTTTGTTAGACTACTCATGCGTTTCCATAACCTAAGATTTCGGTTTGTTGTGATTTTCTGCTTTGATAAAAGTTTTTCTTTTGACTTTCACATGTGGAGGTTACGATGTGACAAAACAGTACAACAACGACATGTGACAGTACACTAAAGCATGACATTACAACAAACACGTTATTCACACTTATAACAAAGAAATCCACAATACATTTGGATTTTTTTTATTTGTTGTGTATTTATTAGTTCTCTGTTTTAGTCATTTCTACTTATTTAGAACAGACGAGCACATTTTACTCTGGTACTGAATTGTACTACCAAGGTATCATTTGGTTTACAGTATCCCGATCAGAAGCAGTCTGAATGAAGAGAAACGCATAGGCAACATGGTTATGCCTACGCAGTGATGCTAGAGTTAATGTTTTAAATGACATTATGACTTTAGACTTCTTCTGTTCATATACCGTAAACCATTTGTGCACATAACACACGACATAAGTGGCGCTCTATGTTTTAGCGGTATTGGAAGTGGTTATCGGGGAGGGCGAGGTGGTGGACATCGTGGATCATACCAGGATACGTACTTCGCACGTGAATAGCGGAATTGGTTACAATTTGGCCATTCTAGTGCCATGAACTCAATCATTGTATATTTTCTTTAATTAAACGTTCTTGATAACCACAAAGAGGTGCGTATTCGATCATTTCTGAAGTAATTCCTTTCGCTTTTTGATTTCACTCTGATCTGAATAGTATACGAATTAGCCTTTCCTGTTTATCGCTGGGATGATTACTAAACTTTTACAACCAACTTACTTACAATCTTCATTCGAGATCATTTCTGATTCGAAGTGGCGTTCGTACGCTTCTTAACGGTGAGTTGGTAATGTGACTCATATGACTCATAATGTGACTCATAAGGATATATTGATAAGGCCTCGATCGTATGTGGTATATTGAATTTTGAAATCTCGTTATTTCTGTGTGAGTATGCGTTCTGCTACCCATTTTTAAGTTCGTTTCTCTTACCATCAATGTTAATAAATATTCAATCCTCCTTTATAACGCTATTATCCCATGGTTATGTGTCCACTCATCTTTTTACTGCGTGATTATAATGGCATAGCCCCATCTGTGTCACAATTGTTGTTCATATTCAGTCTTGTGCCTTACTTTTTAGGAATGGAATCAAAGGAAAAGGCGCAAAAACTTATGGCAGAAAGGGATAAACTCGATGCTGAGATTGAAGACAATCTGGCGATTCTAGCGGAAGTAAGTGTTGTAGTTCTTGGTTGTTACAAATAAGTTGAAGTTTCTTGTTCACGAAGTGTGTTTTATCTTTGTGCACAGATGTGGCTGTGAGTGTCTACGAAAATTGTAACAAATAGACCGCAGTTTTGTTTGGCTACCAGTTTTTTTGGACCTATTTAATGCTATAATCTTTATGACTACCTCCCAACAATGTATTGCCTCATCATGGCTAGGTGGTGTTCCTCCGTGTTGGGCTGCGATGTATGGCGGGGGTGATTCATCTCCCCGACAGGGCCTACCAAGCTAAGGAGGAGTCCGACGTTTCCATCAGGAAGCTCAGCTGCTTACTCTGTAAGCCAATACCACGATCCACCACTGCCCTGGTACCAAACAAATCGCGTAGTGGCAAATCACCCTCTGATCCACAAGGGCTGCGACCGCCTGTGGTGGTGAAGACCTGGAGCAGACTTTAGCTAGACTTACCTTGTGGCTCTAGGAAACCACAATTATTAAACTAGCAAAACTCCGAAACAATGGAAATTATTCTGGGGCAAGCACAACCAACGAAGACGGGTCATCCAAGTATCCAAATGAGTAGGTAAGTATCTTGATGAGTAAGATGATGCATTGTAACTACACCGTAGCAGAAAACAGCTTCATAATTCGTTTCAGAATGGGTGCACAATGGATTCTCCACTCGTTGACCCGGAGGGATATCCGTTTAGTCATATTGACATCTGGGCTGTTCGAAAAGCTCGCCACACTATCATTTGTCTGAGGTAGTAAGAGGCTGAAAAATGTATCGGTTATACTGCTTTCCCTTTCTAATATACTTTGTAAGTAGTATCCAGGATCGACTTTCTGTTAACCTCGGCACTGGGTTGTGAATTCGTCGTTTTCTCTCTCAGCAATCGCGAGGTTGTTAAACAGCATGCGTTTACTTCCACACAATAACACACATACAACACAACCATTGACGATTAGAGTCGTCAACCATATGCGGCTAGGAGCGGTTGCTCGTTGGAAGAAAGGTGAAAAAAGCGGCTCTGAAGAAGGCGATTCTGCCGAAACGTCAGCTACGATTATGTTGTATGTGTGTTATTGTATGGAAGTAAACGTATGCTGTTTAACAACCTTGCGATTGCTGAGAGAGAAAACGATGAATACTTTGTAAATGTTACTTGTATTTGGGAAAAGATATCATTACCTCAAACAGTTCCTGAATTATGTTGATGTTTCTTACTTAGTTTGAGGATACTTCCTCTAATTGATTTACTAAGTCAATCGTAACACATTTATTTTCATATCCTTGTGTGATTAAAGGAACGTTCGCAAGGAACTCTCGGAGCAAATTAAGGATGCGATCGAAGAAACACATGCTCTATACAAATTGAAAATGTCGAAATCATCGTCGTCTAATGAAGTGATAGACGAGAGAGCTTCAGCGGAATGCTGCAAAGATGTTTCTAACTTTAATGGAACAAGTAAGGTAGCTTTGCTAACACTGACAGTTTTTATTGTTTGAGGTATTTTTTGTTTGTTATTCTCTCTCTCCTCCTCCTCTCTCTCACCCTTTTCTTTACGGTACAGTGTCAGTTTCGTAGGAATTTCAGCCCACGATTATCCATCGTACTTCGAACGAGCCCTTTTTGAAAGTGAGTGTTGTAAAGTTACAGTTTACCAATGATGTCTTGATCTTGAGTAGCCCGAACAGTTTTCAGGTCACAGCAGTGGAGACTAACTCACCGGCTGCAAAAGGAGGTTTAAAAACTGGTGATTTGATCGTACAGTACGGTGACTTACATGCTGGGAATTTCAAAGAACCCAAGGAAGTTGCATTGACGACCAATAAATATGAGGGAGTGCGTACCTTTACTGAGCTCTTAATCTACATCTAATCGTTGACGATACGAGAATATCTATTGATCCATCGTTTTACTCCATTGTTGGCCATCTATTTTAGAAGAAGCTCTGTGTAACGACGTTACGAAGAGGGCGTGCAGTACGTTTGGAGATCTATCCACAGATTTGGAGTGGTAGTGGTATTCTCGGGTGTGGTGTAATTCCAATGTCCAGAGCTAATTCTACTTAACGTCATGGATTTTATTTCGTACCTTAATAAAATCTTTTTCACAGATACAACTATCAAATGTCTCTTGTCTTAAAATGTTGAACTGTCCTGCATACATGTAATTTTTGTGTATTTATTATGGTGTGGTGTTCATCGATGCCGTCTTACTCATAACTATGAAACATTATACCGGAGAAATCTGTAAAATGTTTTACGAGGAGTTTTTGGTCGGATGAGACAAAGGAGTACTGTTTTAATACTTCTACACTTACAATGATGCTGAGATATCTGCCAAACTCCGAAGCTCGCAGGTGTCTGCGGCGGCGATCGAACTTCGTTGTTACCCTTTCCGGAGCTAACGTGTTCACCACCACAGCATGTGAATCCTTTGTTTCGATTTTCTCGCAGCCGTTATTGACCTATAGGTGCTTTTAGCAATTGTACTTATATATGTCCTGTTCTGAGGACTAGCGACTTAATGAGCAAACTGTATAAGTTGTGTCACTATAATGAGCGAATCCTGATTTTGACTAGTTCACTTTACTCTGTTCACTGATTTATAGAGAAGAATTAAGTGAGTACAGAGACTAAGTCTTTACTGCAGTCAAATTCCATTAAGGTGGTTTGCATGTCGGAAGCAGTTTTATATAGTTTTGAATCTCCAATTATTCTGTGCCTTAATTCAATCTCAAAATTCCAGGACAACTATGGTCCTTGCCGTGTAGTGGTTAGGAATTTTTAAAAAACTTAAAGTTTTGGTCTTCCAAAACGATAGGCGTAAACAATTTGATAAGTTTAGATGAGAGGAGAATGTACGCTGTAGATGCCTCAGGTTTCTACCAAGTACAGGATAGCAAGACCGCGCGCCCTTCTACCGAATAGTGTTAAATCAACTTGATATCGTTCGTATTTTTACTAAGGACAGCTTTATGAATAGACCGGTGGACCATTCGATACGTATACGTCTCGTAATTGGAACTATTCTTTTTATTTCCTGGATAGCCGTCGAAATCATTTAAGTTTAGGAAAACAGAAAGATTTTTGGTTGCAAATAAATACTGTCATTGTATTGTTTTTGACTCGTAGCAGCTATTCTACAGTATTTCTCTTAAAGATGGAAAGTAGTGCATAAAGTATGTCTTGTTGAGTTGGCAAGTAATTGAGGGAATTTTGAACGGCACTTATAAATGACTGAATTTAGAGCCTCTCACCTTCTAATTAGCTCCATACGTGAATGTTTCTGTGTGTAAAGCACAGGGGTTAAAGGCGTCCTGCAATACTCATATGGTGCGTAGTTCGATCCCTCCCCCTGGGTTGGCTAAGCCTCACATTTCTCTATGGTCGACATACTGGTACCACATATCTTCGGCCAGGATGGAATCACTGGCTTCCTGCATGAGAAGGCCACTACATGACATTGTATTGACTTAGCATGCATTCAATCACCTCTGCTCAATCAAGTTGAGTGTGCGGTTCATCCCTAAAGGATTAATTAACGCTGAACACTCTATCCTTCATCTTTCACCATTTATCCCAAGCTCTCCGGTGCTGTTTTGCGTGCCTGACCGAAGCGAATGCGAGTCTTTTCTCTACCGTTCTATTGGTATCATTGATATGTATGCTACTATTTACTGTGTGTTACTATGGTCCATTATGCAGATACATTGCTCTGAGGACTTCGAAGTATTTTACCCCCTATGCTGAGTCTGTTTCGGTGCTTCCTCTAGCCCCACATTCCATACAGTAACCATGGAGATTAGAATGAAGTAACAGTTAATGGTTAGTTAGCTTACTGGTCAAAGAGTTTCTTCGAAACAAGTTCCTTGTAGATCGATAAGTGTACAGAATGAGTTTTCCGGTTTCATCGGTACCATTTTGATGTGCTTTCGATTATATATCGATCGAGTATACATAGTGTGGTAAGAAAAAAAACTCTGGATCCATCCCACTAGATTGAATATGGACACGCATAGCAAATCTCTCTCTGATCCACAATGGCGACGACTGCCTGTGGTGGTGGCGACCTCGGGCAGACATTGGCTAGGCTGACCTAGGGACTCCAGGTAACCACAGTGGGTAAACCAACAAAACTCCGAGAAATGGAAATTATGCTGGGTTCCGCACAACCAGTGAGGCAGGCCATCAAACTATCCAAGTCGTATAGTGTCCATACGGGGCGTCATGTGTTATAAACATGTTCTTGTGGTACTGTTAATATGGGAAGAGAACTCCCTAATAGACTATATAGAGTAACAATGTTTACTTTCCATTTATTTTTCATGGTAGGGCACGATATGAAACACAACCACTACGATGCTGAGATATTTTCAAAACTTGGACTCCAGGTCAGATCGAGTCGTGCATTCCTTTCCCAGGGCTGATGTGTCAGCCACGGCAGCACTGAGGTCCTTGCCTTGCCTATCTCTCAGCCAGTTTTCTTCCTAAAGCTGCCATTAGTAATCATCCGTCAACGGAATTTATCTGTGGAGCATACATCTAAGTTTTGCAAATATCTCAGCATCATAGTGGTTATGAGCTGTAGTGGTCGGAGGCGCCATGTAATGCACATGGATCGATCCCTGCGTTCCAGGTCCACCAAGCTCTCCATCTCCCCGGGGTCGCAGGATTGGTACCACACTTGTCTGGGAGGATAGCAGCATTGGCTCGATATATCGGTGGACCACCGCGAGTCAATGTAAAGGCCAGATATGTTTCCAATCCTTTATAACGATGCCAAATGAAGTCGAATGCATGGCGCATCCCTCAGGGGTAGATGGACGCCGGGAGCTTTATCCTTTAATTTTTTTTGTAGTGGTTATATAGAGTCAGTTATACTGAATCGAGTTATAATTATGATGGGATTTTTTTAAGTGTGCATGACTGGTGAAACGATTGGACGAAGATCACTGTTGCAGAAGTACGAACACTTAATTGGAGGATTTGCTGGTGGAGTGGCCAGCACCGCAGTATGCCACCCTATGGATCTTCTCAGGATTCGCTATTCTGGTAAAAGTTTTGTGCTTTCTATCACTGAAACGGCAACCAGTGCTGTAAACCAGTTGGTTACAGCTAATGAAGGTGGTGTGTTTCGACCTCAGTACAAGAGCTATATCGATGCAACCAAATGCATATTTCGAGCCGAAGGCGTTCGTGGACTCTATCAAGGTCTTACACCGAATATGGTTGGCGCAGCATTATCGTGGGGACTTTACATGGAATGGTATAAGCGACTCCGTTCTTGTGTTCCCTGATAAAATCTCTTGCTAAAAAGGAATGTTCAGGTATCATAAAATAAAGGCGATGGTGCCGTTTCACTCTTCAAATGAAAGTTTGAATAACTTCTTATGTGGCTTCTTCGCCGGAGCTGCTGTTATGTGCTTCACAAATCCGATTTGGGTGACAAAAACAAGGTATTCTGCAACCAACTTGTTTTATAAACACGCGGTTGGTAGATGTTGAAATCATAGACACAAAAATAAATAAATCGATCCGAACTACTTGTCATTTTATTAATTTTCATGCTATTCGGGTAATTTCATATGGAGCCCCTACATGTCCATCTAACGCGACAGAGCTATTTGTTCATTCGAAATACAGAAAGTACTACGTTTTACGTATGACGGCCTTTATTTTCAAGAACGCACATCCACATGTATTCAGCATCGGGATTTGGGATATACTTCTGGATATCTTGCTGTGCTTTTCTGAATAGATGACAAGCTTTGTTGTTATAGACATCTCCGAATAATCTTCCTAAAATAATGCAAAATAAAACTCAATGAATTCCACTAAAGCAGTGCATATATGCATGTACTTAAAGATGTGTCACATGTTAACTATTCTCCCACTGATGCTGAACGACTCGGAAAGGATCCCGTAAAGTCGTCCTCGCATCCCTCGCAAGCGAAAGCGGCCAGTTGGTTCTATTCGCCATAGGGATTCGCATAACATTATTTCTGTCTTAGGGTATCTAGGGAAGGGTTCTCTGTTTTCTTCACTTCATTATCGATATTGTAAGGTCATTAGCACCTCGGATCTTCCTACTCATCCCTGTTGCTAAATCGTATATCATGTTGATTATGTGACCCAGATACGCATAGCTGATAATTAGAGATATTAACTCTGTGAAGCATGGATGGAGCATCAGGAGCAAATTCGTTTCTCATGAACATCGTTCTGAGATTTAGTAGAAGGCCAAGTCCACAAGCGTTATCAAAATCCACCAGCAGCATGCGTTCTGCCTTGTTAATACTCGATTTATAAAACCTACATTGTCAAATGAAAAGTGATGTCACTGCGAAGAATTGATTTTCACTCTCGTACCATTCCAATTTAGTTTCCACATAACGTTCTCGACAGTTTCCATCCCGGTTTCTGCTTAGCCTAAAAGTGGATAATCAAAGTCTTGATTTATTGATAACAAGATTGATGGGAATCTTCATTATGACTAACATTTCCACTGCACCGCCTTTTTCAAAGCCACGGTGATTTGAATCGATTGTCCACAGCAGTCCTTCCTTCTTGTAGGTCTTCGTAGTCGTGACATCGAGTCTAATAAAATCGAGTGGTGTACCGCAAAAACAAAGTAGTGTTATTTCGAAACCGACCTTCCCTAAACCTCGGTGTGACTAATCAATATGTATTCTTTCTTGATAAGCTTGCCTCATTCGAGAAGATGGCTCACTGAGGAAGATCTGGCTCGACACGAAGGCGAAGACGCAACGTCGAGACGAACAACAAGCATGGACCATCGACTCGGATCACCGGCTCTAAGGAAGACGAAGACGTCGAAACGTTAGCCGAAAATAAATATATTTATCAACCTCGTGCAAGCTTATCAAGAAAGAATGCATATTAAAGTAGTGTTACTCAGTTTTGCACTTTTATACAGGACGTTCCTTGCCGCAGCAGAGTAACCTGACCTCAGTTCGCAGCTTCCTGAAATACAGGATGTTCTTTGGACGATTGGGCGGTTATGCTCATCCAGTCTTGTCAGTAAACCTACATATTGATTATTCATGCCCAAGTCAACTGAAAGTTGCTACTGAGATTATTGCTCTACTATATGCCAACTAATTGAAATCCGACTGCTGCAGAATGGATTGTCGTCGTGGAAAAGAAAAAAAATCGGTTGCTAATCGACCAGAAACTGTGTTGTATCCTGAGGAACTATCGGATTAGGTCAGATGATCAGAGTGAGAAATAGCCGTTTTTTATAAAAGGACACTGTTGGGAGACATAACATGAAGAAACAAGTGCTATGTGCACTCAACTCGTTTCATCATGTCTATGCAGAAGGGGTACTACCAAACCGTTGGCTACAATAAAGATTTGCACCAATCTTTCGTATGTTTATCGATAAACCAGGGTTATCGATAAAACTTGTAATTTTGGAATGATGGTAACAACTTGTCGAAACTTCTTTGATATTTCTATTATTTTTATTTTGCACCAATCGTCTTCATATCTACTTTGCGAATCCCAGCATTTCCTGAATTCGATTCGTTTCCTAACATTCTTCCACGAAGGTCTTCGAAATTCTGGCGTGTGAGTTTTAGCTGCTGCTTAGGCATTGTCTTCTTTATGTATCGTTCAGTGGTGCTCGAGTTGATTCTCCCTGGAGTCGTGGCCTAGCCGGGCTAGAACGTTTCCACTTGGACTGCAGAGAGTGATTTGTTCCCAGACGGGCCTGGTACCAATTTCTCTACCTCAGATTGATGAGAGGACTGGTGAACTTGGGCGAGCTTGGACCTGCACCATGCTCATAATGAGCGGAATCGGCACCACTCCACTACCCACAACCATTTCACCGATTATGTCTTGTTTCAGCTTTGTTTGAGAAGATGTTATATAGCCTATGAAGGAGTTTAATGCACCGAGTTTGAATGCGTTGCATGTCCAGATTTTCCGCTTTTTTCTTAATTGGTTTGTAAGCTTTTTTATTAGAAGAAAGTGAGGCGAAGCAGTTTCCTGTATATACTTCAATGAGTCTCGTTACTGTGTCGATGTGGTCTGTCGTACTGAACTGTTTTCGAAACCTTGCTTATGTGCATGGACGCCTCGCCCAATGTTGCTTTATTTCTATTGAGAACGACTAGATGAAAGAGGTTGTAGATGAAAGGAGCAGGTAAATTGGAAAATAAATGCAGATATTGTGAAATGGCTCCTTCTTTTGCAACAAAATGGTCTTGCTTGTTTATAATAATTAAGAGCAATGAATTCCGACAGGTAATGTGTAATGAGCCACTGTGTTGATGAGGGCTGGCGATAGATTCCTGAGATTTTCCTCGCTAATCCTCTCTCAATCAGATATTGTACCACTCATCATCGATAAGATAGCTTGCTGGATTTCGAAGTTCACAACTTGTAGCACGGCATATCTATTCTCCTTAATTCACTGTAGAGGGAGGAGGGCGTAGCTTTTGAAGAGATCACTTTAGTAGTCGTGGATGGCTTCCTTTGCAACCTTTCTAAAGTCTTAACTGTTTCGTCTCAGCATCGAGGTGCGACTTCTTGTCTTTTAATTGGCGAAATTTCGGCGAGCGTTGGGAATTCTCTCGTTTGCTCTTCTATTCCTAAGCTTTCTTTTTTCCGCTGTTTTCCAGTGCTTTTGAAGTTCGGAAGTGAATTCATGATTACCTTCGGGTTTTGCAATTCCAATTGGGCAGTATTAGCCGATCGAATTCTTCATCAATGTTCTCGGTAATTTCGTTTTCCCAATTACTGACTGATCTAAATACATACAAGTTAATGGTGGTTTTCGAGTCTCGTCGCTTGAAAATTGTGATGTTCCGTTCTTTATGTGAAGGAAGCAGCCTTGAAAGAAGAAGGCAATTGTCCAATCTTGTGTAAAATGTAGTGCTAACGACGATTGGTTAAGCAAAACCAAGCTGTTGTGGTACTGTGACATACCATGGTGCATCTCATTTTCTTGCCCTCTGTTTGGAGGCTTCCACATCCAACGTGGATAAAAGGACTTATGGAATTGTTAGTTGTCATGAATAGTATTGGTCACTACAAGCTGAGGCAGCCGCTAATCCTTTCACTGCATTCTAATCTGTAGATCGTTGTTTGAAGTTCATCACACGTTGTGACGAGTGCAATCTTAACATTAAAATAACAAGTGGTGAGCTTATGGAGGGTATGTTATTTTTGCAGAGCTTCTGAAAGTAATTGTGGAGGGTTTTTACGTACTTCTCATCATAGCGTAGTGTTCTGCTTTACATGAGGAAGATTATCTTAACTGTTACCGATTTTTTCAATCATAAAAACATCGTTAATTGTAAGAGTCGCTGTTCATGGTCAAACGTGCGTGTGTGATGACGCCAGCGCCGCCTTTATCGTCGCATTTCCCGACGAGCAGATCTACTCCGTTGACAAAAACGATATTTGACGGGTTTTGTCTCCTCATCTTGGCACTTCGGTGCTGCTCCTAGCCAACACTGCCGTAAGAAGGGCCTTTTTGGAGTCAGAGGAGTAAGACCCATCTATTTCACTCTGTTCGGATTTTTATACACTCCAGTAGCTTGCCGAGCTTTCAACGTGGGTCTCCGTGTAATCGCGGGTAGCTTATCAGTCGTCATCAGAGTATATGCAGAACACATTTGTTGGAAATGGCTCTCAGCCAGCTCCCGATCCTTTCCTAGGCTAATACTAGGCCGAATGGAGTTCTATAATACTCTACACATACACCCACTACAAATGCATGCACGAAAATGTCTGCGTAAGTAGAAGGTATGTGTCAAATTTCCACATCTTAAACACGGAATTCGCGGAAACCTACGTCTCAGAGCCTAACGAGCTTGCTTCTGATCCGCGTTTAACACCCAGTCCGTTACCTGTGGGTACGTTACGTGGTAGCAGCACTTAATGGTTGGGGATTGCTCTGTTACCGAGATCCGTTTGTTTATAGATGATGCAAGGGAACTGGACGTATATATCTTCATGTATGTATGTATATTATATATATATACATACATATATATACATATACATACATACATATATACATACATATACATACATACATACATACATACATACATACATTCATACATACATACATACATGAAGAAGTTGTCACATTTAGTTTTATCTCCAACTTATCATACCTAGGCTTTGTCTCCAATACGAGACCAGCACTGCGAAAAAGTACTCTGGAATGTTGGAATGTTTGCACAAAATTTCCAAAGAAGAAGGTGTTAAAGGTCTATATAAAGTAAGTATTTTCAGTAGAAATTTCTGGAGAATGAATAACTTTAAATTTTACGATTTATTGAGACAAGAAATGCTATTTAATTCAGGGTTTTGTGCCAGGATTGTTCGGAACTACTCATGGTGCTTTACAATTTATGTTATACAATCGTCTCAAAGCTTGGCGCTGTCAAACGCTAGGTTTGCCCTGGGACGCTCCTTTAGTACGTGTTTTTTATACTGAAATGCATATTTTCCTTTAAAATGGGTTTTCGATGAATCCCGGAAATTTTGAGAGACCTTTGCAAGGGACTTTGATATGTCGCAAATATTTTTTTGGACCATATTTTCTCTACAGTTTTACCCTGATTTTCATAAAATTATAGAAGAACCATTGTGAACAGACTTCCATTTAACGTCTATATAAATAATCAATGTACCTTCTTTCCTTGATAAACTAGCACGCGGTTGTTACCAATATTTATTCGGCTAGCGTTTCGACGTCTTCGTCTTCCTCAGAACCAAATCGAGAGTACGAAGGACGGTGGACATCGACTCGGATCATTGGCTCTTAGGAATTCGAAGACATCGAGACGTTAGCCGGATAGATATTGGTAATGACGTCATGATAGCTTATCAATAAAGCAAGGTACACAGATGGATCAATTCTATGATTTTTTTCTTACACAAGTACAACAACAAGAAATGTCAACGACGCCTGCAGAGACACTAATCGCGTTCCGATGGACAAAATCTCACATATTTGGCCTTGGCTGACCTAGGTATGAGCGTCCGTAGAAAAAAAGACGTAGAAAAGCTGATTTTTGAGTTCTAGAAAGTCTGAATTCCAGAGTTGTACAATAAGAAAACATGTCATACCGGAAAAGATGTGTAGATTGCAAGGTTTCTTCGGTTTAATATGAGCTGAGACATGTTTATTCAAAGTTGAAAGGCCAAGCTATTTCCGGCTAAGCTTGAGTAATAAATGACTCATGTGATTTTAAATGCTTGGTTACTTGGACGGTCCATCTTCACGAGTTGTGCGGACCCCATCACATTTACCATTCGTTTCTTTCTCTCGCAATCGTAGTCCATGGTAGTGGGGTTGTTCGAGCATGGTAGCGCTTACGAGTCTCATTCCGTGATCTGTAAAACAACTGTAGATGCGGACACAGCTGATTAACTTTGTTTACGAACACGTCCTCCCAACGTGTAGGTGGTTCAAGGGGACGTTTGCATTCTCTTGGAGTCCACTCTACCGTTCTTTTCGTCCATCTGTCGTCTGTCCTTCTCATTATGTGACCGGCCCATCTATGTTTCGCTATCGATGTATATTCTCCTGGATCTCGAAGATGTAACAGATTTTGAACGTCAGAGCTTCGCATTCCGGTTATATATTGAGAATGCCGGTTATATTTCAGAAGACATCGCTCGAGCGCTCTATGAGTAGTGCAAAGCATTCTTCACGTGGTTGAAGTGTCATCCCATGTTTCTGCAGCACAATAGAGCGCTGGGAGGACCGTAGAATCGAAAGGGTGAGCACAGATTTTCGGATCCTTCAATTGGTCGGTGGGTTCTTTGAGAGGGCCGAATGCGGCCCAATCTGCTCTCCTTCTTCTTTCTAGTTCCTCCTTCATGTTGTTTTCCATGTTCATTGATCGCCCAAGATATACGTTCGAGGTGGTCTCTGCGATCAGAGAGCCATCCAATTCAATTTTTTCGCCTTTGCGCCAGGGATTTTTCATGAACTGGATCTTCCGATTTATGCGCAGTCCGTTCTTTTTTCTCGCTCGCTGATCATCGTCTGTGCTTCGCTAGTACTTCTTGAGAAGACAATGATGATGTCGTCGGCAAAACGAAGGTTTCATAGGAATATTCCATCAATACATATGCCTTTCTCATCCCAATCGAGTGACTTCATTATCCACTGCAGTGCGGCACTGAACAGCTTTGGCGATGTTGTGTCTTGTTGACATTGTGTCGCCCTGTCTAAACCCTTCTCCTGTGGGTATGGTAAGAAGTCGATGGAAAAGCTGTAGTTTCGTGGTGTAGTTCCGATACCAGTCAGACAGAGTTCTTATGTAGGACGGGTCCACTCCTTGGTCGATGAGAGTTGATAGGATTGCATTCGTTTCGACACTGTCAAATGCGTATTCTTTCTTGATAAGCTTGCACGAGGTTGATAAATATATTTATTTTCGGCTAACGTTTCGACGTCTTCGTCTTCCTCAGAGCCGATGGTCCGAGTCGATGGTCCATGATTGTTGTTCGTCTCGACGTTGCAGCTTCGCCTTCGTGTCGAGCCAGGTCAGTATCGTGCATAAAAGGGTATCACTGAGTGAGGATGCCTCATTCGAGATGGCTCACTGAGGAAGACCTGGCTCGACACGAAGGCAAAGCTGCAACGTCGAGACGAACAACAATCATGGACCATCGACTCGGACCATCGGCTTTGAGGAAGACGAAGACGTCGAAACGTTAGCCGAAAATAAATATATTTATCAACCTCTTGCAAGCTTATCAAGAAAGAATACATATTGATTAGTCACACCGAGGATTAGAGAAAGTCGGTTTCGAAATACTGTCAAATGCTTTTCCATAGTTGACAAGGGTTAGGACTAGAGGCGGGTGGTTTTCACGACAAGCATCGATGACTCTGGACGCAGTTTGGATATGATGCATGCAATAAAATCCTTTTCGAAATACTTCTTGCTCGACTGGTTGCACCTCAACCAATATCCTTGATATGAGCGACAGCATAATCGTCGTGAAAAGCCTGTAGAGAACACTCAACAACCATATTGGGCAGTAGTCACGAAGATCCCTTCGGTCACCTTTCTTAGGCAGGATGACCGTGCGCGACGTCGTCTACTGGTTTGGGATTTTTTCCTTTTGAAGGTAGGCTGTCATATGGTTTTCGAGAAGTACGTGTGAGTTGTGGCCTCCAACTCTAAGGAAATCGGCAGTGATATTATCGGGTCCTGAAGTTGTGCCTCTTTTCATACTTTCTATCGTAACTCGAACCTCTGACTGAGGAATTCCAGGTGGTTTTTCTCTAGCGTGAATATTAGGGTCCGGGACGTGGATTGTGGAACGGAAAAGGTTGGTGTAGAACGTTTCCGCTATTAATTCCATATCATGGCGGGAAGTTTTGAAGATCCCATCTTTGTTCATCAGGACTGACAGCGGAACACTATAGTCACCCAAGTTCCGACATTTTTTCTCTACTGCTTCCAGTAGTTTCTTCTGCTTGCACCGTTTTAGATCTTCCTGCAAAGCTCTTCTGTAGCTGGCATTTATTATTAGCCATGTTAATTGTGTTGCAGTCGGATCAAGCTTCTGTTTTCTTCTCTTTTCGAGCAACTCCTTAGTGGTAATGGAGATGCCACCCGATCTTCTTGCTTGAGGAACTGATGCGAGTTAGGCACAGCTTTTCAGTCGTTCGACAAGCAGCTCGTAGTCTTCGGTCTGATCTTCTTTAATCTGCCAGTCGATAGGGCTTCGTTCAGAATGTTCTCATCGTATACAGTTAGACTTTTTCCTCGTAGTGGATGACGTGCATTCTTTTCCAGCTTATGGCTGAATCGAATCTTCGAAGGCGGTGATCGGAACCAATACGAAATGATGGGATCACCGATGTGTCAACTAGGCACCCGACATGCTTATAAATATGTTAATGAATTATATTTACACATATGAAATGCTGAGATATTTGCAAAACTCCGGACCACAGGTGTATGCAATGGAGAACGAGCACGCGCTGTTGTCCCTACCGAGGAGCAGCGCACTTCACCACTACACCATCCGGGTCCTTCGCTTTGCGTGTATCTCGGCTAGTTCTATCGATCTTTTTTGCCATCAGCAATCACCCGTCAACAGGGTTGATCTGGAGAGCCAATATCGGCATTGAACCCAGTTAAGCTGAGGCTTATATTGTGATTACAACTAAGTATGGACAACAGCGCGTGTTCGTTCTCCATTGCAAACACCTGTGGTCCGGAGTTTTGCAAATATCTCAGCATTTCATACGAGTTATATTTCGCAACATAGCCTGCCATTAAGAAGAAAAAGGCAGTAAATAAAAGAGTTAAGATTGTGATTATATTTACACAGTTAATGCTAGTAGACAATTAAGATAGTCTTTTAGAAATTGATTACTTAATTGGTCAACTGGAAGTTGATTTGTTTGTACTAAATATGTAAAGTACGTATAGGTAAACACAAGAGATTTCATTGGAGTCGGTTCTGTTCTAATTTTCAGAATTCTCAAGACTACCTAGTGTTTTCGGCAATTTCGAAATCCATTGCAACTACGGTTACTTTCCCGTACCAAGTGCTTAGAACCCGAATGCAGGTTGTGATTATTGTGAATAGGTTAATAGTTTATTAAAAAATATGTGACCGTTGAAATGGAGAAATGAACTCGTTTCATAGTAAAAGAAAAGAGGATCAAACAAGATTCAAGACAAATACGAAGCTGTAACTGAACGTATTGCCGAAATAATAATAGAAATAAAAATAGAAATAGAAATATTGTCGAAGGCCATTTAACTTGCAATAGAATCAGCCCCAGTGGTGTCGGGAGATCACGTGGTATTCTATCACATGCATGACTAGGCAAACAAAAACGGCAACTCTGAATTTTTTCTCACCAGTAGGAATAAAAATTTCCAGAGAAACCTCGAATCTTATATGCGTTTACATACTCCGCTTCCAGGTCAATCGTACCAACCTTTCCACGCCTCATCGAGAATTTAAAAGATTACTGAGAGTGCATTGAGATGGACAAATAACCTCTGTCCACCTTTCTGCTAAGATTCTTTAAGCCTTATCGTACGACATGAAACATAGGCTCGACGTAATCACAGTGAAGGACCAGTCGGCGTTATCGAAGGCGCAAATGAGAGGAGTATCCTGTATCGCGCAAGTGGTAGAGGGAATCCTAAAAATTCCAGCCTAAGTTGACGATAAAGATAGGAGTAGGTCTCAAATTCATCGAGATGTCGAAAATGAAGTGCGTGTGAGACGTGGTGCATCTCAAAGCCAATTGGCATAGCACGAAATTTGAAGCGAACAGCACTAGGAGCATAGACGCGATGACCAGAAGTGTTCACGAAAAACCTCTGAGAAAAATATGATGCTCAGTAAGTTCGTAGAACTACTGACTAACTTGACAGATGAGGACTTTACAGGCACTCTTCTCTATTGTTTAATGGTCAACAGGTGAAAAGATGAGCATAGGTGATGTATGGAAGATATTTCTCAAACTGGCAGATCAGAGACGGGAAGTGCTAATTTTGAGTGCATTTTTTTCTCCCTACGAGGTCATTTTTAATCCGCATTTAACCTCTCGTGCGCTAGTTGAGAGACGCGATGCAGCCTTGTGATTAACCAACCGACTGGGATCAGGAGTTACTATGTATGATAATATAACAGAACTAAATCAAAGATACAAGCTCCACATTTGTAAGATGTTCTACTAGCCAAATATTGTGGTGGTACCAGGGTGTATCCACGCACTTCACGGTGCCACTCACTACGATGAGATGTTCTCCATCTATTCCTACTTTACATCATAACAAATTCAAAACCTTCAGCAATGTTTAACGGCTTCGTTACTAATGTAGACTTTTGATTGAAAATCTCTCCAGTCTATGTAATGTGAGATAGGAAAGTTATAATCAGGGTATAAACCTCAAATAATTTGGGTACAAGCTCTTAATTGTCATAGATTAGTTTATTTATATTATATCTAGAGCTCGGCTTTTTAGGATCATAATGTAGAGTCAGGAGGAGTATGGCGAACAACAACTATGACACTTAAACGAGAAGGTATCCGTGGTCTATATAAGGGTTGTTTAATGGCTAACCTTAGACAATTACCGGCTGCCATCGTCACTTTTGTAACCTATGAAAATGTGAAGCACCTTATTAGGAGTTCAAATTTCTAACCATGTTGCTTCTTTTTATCACTTTGACTCAAGTCTTTCCTTTGCCGTTGTTGAATTATCGCTTGCTGAAATCATAGGGCGATGGAAAATTCTACGTAGGTTGCATGTCTACAGTTTTTCATTTTCGTTTTTAGTGTCTAGATTTGAAAATTATTTTTCTAGGTTTAGTTTCTAGGCTCTGTGACTTCTTTCGAGGTCGCCTGACTGTTCAACGTACTAGTTTATCCACTTCATCTCTACATAGTTTTGCTAAAGTTCGACTTTGGAATACCTCATCAACCTTGTTAAATTCCTCTTCAGAGCTTATTTAACGGGTTGGAAATGAAGTTGGATACTTGATCTCTTAAATTAAGGGAAGAAAGTATTTCGTACTCTTATAACACAATAATACCGATAATTTGGTGAAGCGGTAAAATTGTATGCTACACGGTGTTGGCATACTTGTTGCCATATTACAATGAAAGCTTGAATAGCTTGTTGCACGAGGAATCTTGTTAACCCTAGCACATTGTCTATGTAACGGTACACTACTGGTTTAGTAATTTTTGCTCTAGAGTCCTGCGAAATCTGGAGCATTCCTAGGTACGTATCACAGAAAGTCGTCTATCATTGTGGATTGGATACAGATTTGTCACAGTATAGTTTATAAGGTCTATTCAAGAATGGTTTCCTGGAATTGATGTGGTCATAGACAGTTTTCCAGTCGAGACGTCGAACATAGACCTTATAAACCTAAAATAAACCTCACTGTGTTAGGCGTCATGTGTTAATGTGATAGAGGCATACGACTTCAATCAAGATTTTGTAGTACTAGTTTTGTCGTAGATAAATTTCTTGGAAAAACGGGAAAACATTCAATATTACTGGATCGTTAAGGAGACTAGGAAGAGTTTGCTAACACATTTGGTGCTTCTAGTGTTCCTGGCTTGACGGCGACGGTTCACATCCCATACTCGTGCGAATTAAAGTTACGGTAGTCGCACTCGTCACTTGAGTCATTTACATAACAGCGTGAAATTAGGTGAAGTCTAGGATTGCATTCTTTCCTCGTTTCATTTACATCGTGATTAACATATCATGTCAAACTATGTGAACGCATACAGTTGCATTATCATCGGATTACAAGGTATCACCGCATGAATACATTAAAGCTGCATTTTCTCTGTCTCGTTTGTGAGGCATAACACTTGTGCTGTTAGGTTAGAACCATGAATTCAATGATAACGTGTAGAGATACGTGAAACCATTTGAAACTTGATGGATGGTAGTCGATCTCTGACGTTGCGGTACAGTTTGCAAGACGACACCACGATATCAAATGAGTGTTTACTGTCTTGACGTCGTTTAGAGAACATCAATGTCAAAGCACAACAAGACGCATCAACCACAATGGCAATATCGCATCGATAATTTCCGGAAGTATGCTTACTTGGATACCTGGATGGTCCGTCTTCACTGGTTATGCGGCTCCAGCATAATTTTCGCTTTTTCAGAGTTTTGCTAGTTTAGCCATTGTGGTTCCGAGTAGTCCTGAGTACGGCCTGGCCAAAGTTTCCCCTAGGTCGTCACCACCCCGGCATTAACCGCCATTGTGGATCTGAAGATTTGCCACCATGCAGCTAATTTGATAACAGGACTATGGCGGATCTCAGTATTTACTCCTAGTTGAGTTTCCTGATGAAAACGCCGCATTCCTCAGCTAGGAAGGCCGTGCTGGGGAATGAACCCTACTTGTACATCTCAGCTTGACACCCAGAAAAACCTTCCAGCCACGATGAACCGGTAAACCGGAGGTACGTAGTTATGTAAATTTGAAATCAGAGCATCTGTTCGTTTTTCAGATTGAGATTACAGCTTGATAACGTGGAATCATGCACTTTAGAAGGAACGAATTCAAGCCGCAGCGTTAACCTCTTAAATCTCCATTATACATTCCTGACTATGTTACCTCATAGGAGTCGGACGTTGGGCGCTGTAGGGAACGTGAGATAGCTCACTCCATCCAATCTACGTGGAAACGCCCTAGCACGGTTCACACGGGATTCCAGAGAGAATCCACTCGATCAGCTTTCAGTAACACTCACAAAGAGCACCAAGTCCTCAAGCAGCTGACGGATGGAGACGCAAATTCGAATGTCTTTATGTAGTTTGGATTTGGGTAAACCAATCAAATACAGGAACTACTGGGATCCATACGGGTGATGTCGCATCGTCTAAAATAAAAATTAAAGGTAAAAAAATTCTTTTTGACATTAGGGTTCCTTTCAAAAAAAATCTTTCGTTTTATGTGTTTGTGCTCAGAATTAATACCACCTTGCAGTGAAGTTTTTGTCTGGTTTTAAACGCTTTTTCTTTCAGAATGTGTAACTTTTATCTACTACCCATCATTTTTTTCGGTATTATGTGAAATACAACCAGAACGATGCTGAAATATTTGCAAAACTTGTACCTCAGGCCAGATTTGAACCAGCGATTACCCTTTCCGGAGGCTCAACTCTGTACCACTGAGTCACTCGTTCTGCCTATACCTGAACCAATTTTTTTATCCTAACGGTGCCATCAGCGTTCACCCGTCAACGGAAATGATCTGAGAAGCTCGCGATGTATAACTTTCATCTACTGCTCATTACTGTTTCGCGGTAGGGTACTGTGTGAAGTACAACAACAGTGAAGCTGAGATATTTACAAAACGTGGATCCCAGGTTGTTTTTAAACTATGTTTGCAGATATCTCAGCATCATTTATGCTCTTTCTTTTGATTCCCATTCGTGTCCTGTCTGATCCATCGAAGTAAACATTAAGAAGCGTAAATTGGAGTAGTTCTTTTTTGTCTGAATTTTGCCTTGGACGATTGATTCAAGGCTGAAGGCGGAAGATTCATGATATTAAGAGCCTTGAAGAGCATCGTAGACGACCAAGAACCACCCATGATGATCGCTTCAAAGCGTTACATGAAACAGATACATGAACAGCGGTTGGAGAAGGATAGAACTAAACGTAAGTAGAGAAGCAGTTGTGAGCTGTCATAACCGCTTCGAATGGCTTTTTGGTCGCATCTGAAGGATCCATGAGAAATGAACGGTGCATAAAATTAACGAAAAGCGACGACAAGATCGCCATACATATATTGTGTGATTCACTGAATGCCGAAAACGTGGTGACAAATGAAACCATGCACTCCTTTTCCTATTTGTTTACATATCCCAATACCACATATTGCGCGTATCTTTGTTCTTTCATTCGGTTTGTAGTTATCTGTCCATTACGTACAAAAGTTCTCTGAATTATACGTGGGTTCGAGTGCCACGTCAAGACTTTATCTTCATCTTGAATGTCGGATGCATTCATGTCCCTCTGATACACATCCAACCTCTCCGAGGTCCTAAGTTGAGGAGGTCAGCGTTTCTGTCAGGAAGTCCATTTCCATTAAGAGTGAACCAATATCGGGAACCACCACCATTCCGATATCGAACTACTCGCATGGTGGCAGGCTTCTTCTGATCCACAAGCGCTGCGACTCCCTGTGGCGGTAACGACCTTGGGCGGGTTTTGGCCTAGCTGACTTTGGAACTCCAGGGAACCACAATGGCAAGACGAGAAAAATTCCGAAAAAACGGAAATTATGCTGGAGCCCACACAACCAACGAAGACAGACCATCCAAGTATCCGAGTAAGTATCCATGAATGTCCGATTTTAATCGAGTTCATTCTCCTTGGAATCTTTAGACAAGCATCCCAGTGCGATCCCAAGCGTCCAGGATAACAGCAGATAGTCACCGGCCTTTGTGGATTGTCGCACTTTTCAGAGATGTCTGGTGCAAATATGTCGACCGTCCTCAAAAGGTGGAGTTTCGTTGGGCCATTGCGTGATCGAACCAGCTATAATACGTGTACTGCACCATATCCTTAATATATCGAATTTTTTTTTGCAACCGTTATCTAATGCACTATAACTTCTTGTAAAGTCTTAGGTTTTTATGGAACTGTTATGACAAATAAATGTTGTTAAGAGATTGAAAGACAAATCACCATGGGCTGCAACGTCTGCAGAGGGCATTGTTCAACAGAAGGGCAATAATTCCAAAAGTAAGTGACTAACCTCACTGGAAGCAAACGATGTAGAAGTTGAAACAAATGTATTTCTTTAAAAAAAATGTCGGCTGGGCGACGAGCAAAGCAAGGGCCTCGGTGGTGTAGTGAGAAACAGGGCAACACGTTAGCCCATCGAAAGGGTAGTCGTGGTCTCGAATTGGGCCTGGAGTCCAAGTTCTGTAAATATCTTAGCATCACAGTGGTTGTATTTCACATCATACTCTGCCGTAAAAAATAATAGACAGTAAATAAAAAGTTAAAGATTGCATTTCTTTAGATTGTTCGGCTTACACGTGGCTGTTGCAAGAACGTTTTAAAGAATTCGCGTAAGCCGAACGATCTAAAAATATCAGGATTCTTCATGCCGAGTTTAAGTGAAAGTGTATTTAGAAAGCTAAAAAAATTGCCTTCGGAAATTCTACTCCACCACATATACTCAGGGGATGCTTCACATAGACATTAAGCATGTAAACAGTTATTTGCTGAAAAGGCGCCACCTGTCAGTTGCTTCCAAAATACCTTCAGAAAGTCGAATCAGAAAATCTTCTATTTCATCAAGATGGAATAATCAACCTGTGCCTTTCTGGCAAGTCTATTTCCACCTTGACGAATCTCACTTGAACTGATAAAACCACAATGATGCTGAGATATTTGCAAAACTCCGGACAGCAAGTGCCTGCGGCGGGGATCGAACACGGTATTACCGTTATGGAGCTAACGCATTCAACACCACACCATATGGATCCTTCGTCTCGTTTTTCTCTCAGTCATCTTTTATAGTGATTACATTGTGACTTATACTACAGCTTCAGCTTAACCGCTTTCAATTTAGATTTTTGCTCTCTAGATCAAAGTCGCTGATGGGTGATTGCTGATAGCACCTTTAGATCAATAATATGGCTGAGAGA